GGCATAGGCGTAGATGATAAAATAATATTCAGACGGATCTTAAAGATAAAAAGCGTGATGGTGATAACGTCCACTGATGAGCTCTTGTAACCACGGTAACGGACCTTCAAGTTCTAGAAACTAGGAATTTTCTTGACTAGATAGGCAACTATCATCTTTCAAGAAAGTTTATATAATTAGTTGGAGTCGTATTCCATACTTGAAACCTGACCTGTGCGTGAATGCTTGCAGCCAACATGTCAGCTTTAAGCCCACCTGCTGATCAGATTATCGTGGGTTTTTATATATATAAAAAGGTCTTCCTACCTGAACACAATGGAGGATGAATTCCAATTTTCATCATCCTACTATACAAGCCAGAAAATTACACTTCCTCCTTCACCCCGATCCTCCCCCGACTTTTCCCATCTCAACTCCAACCCCATTCTCCATTTCTCGGGTACCACAGGCTCCGAATCATCCCTCTCAGTACATCTTGACTCAAGCTTGTTCAATGTCGAAATCTAGCATACGAGATGCTAGGAGTCGGAGGCTGCTACGGTCTGGACAACCATGACAAAATTCCCGGCAGGGATTTTATCCGCCACCATTGTGTTCAAAGCAGTTCTGGAGCCAAACCAAGTTTCCCAGCCGATGTTTACGGCTATTTCTCTGTGGGTGAGCTGGAGGTAGCATAAAACTGACTCAATTCCCCGTAGTGTTGAGGGAACGCCTATACAATATGTGTTATTTTACCTACATGACCCTTATACAACTTTATGCCGTAGTTCTTAGGGACGGAGGGAATTTAAAATTATCAGGATTCAGTTTCACTCAAATCTTTCAAACTGTCTAAGGTTGCACATTTCAAATTTCCAAATTTTCCACACCAAAAAAAATCAAGATCTTGAAAGGTTGAAAATGTATAAAATTGTAAGATTCGGAAATTTTCAATATTTTTAGCACGAACTGCGGCCAGTATTGATTCACAGCTGTTTCTTGCCTCACCTGCTTCTGATCCATGCTAAAAGTCAAATTTGACTCTCCGTTGCGGCAATTTCACAATCATACTGCCTTCCTGCGTGTTTTCACAAATCAGAGGTTTACCCCAGCTGAACAGCGATATACTGTACATTGCATTTACGGGATCTGTGATGGAAAGAGCAGGACAGCAGTTGACGGATATTGTAAACGTTTCCCGAATAGGCAAAATATTTAATAATATACACCAGACATTACTGGAAACGGACAGTTCTTGCACGCAACCAAGAACACGTAGCAAGAATGTACCATAACGACCAGCTTTCGAAAGATGTCTAATCGACTTGACGAATCCGCATCGTGGGTATGGAGAAACACACATGAGGAAGATTTGTACCCTTAGCATTTGTAACATGTGTAGGCTTTTCAACCGGACGATTGCAATATTCGTGTTCAGTTTTGCTAGTGGATTCTTGTACACAGTCTGATGCTTCTTCGCAAACTGTCCAGTGATGAAGCTCAAGTCTGTCGACATAGAATAAATAATATAGGATGTCAGACAAAAATTTCTAAATATCAGATACGACCTTGATGCTAGTCATGAAGACGAGTCCTAATTTAACTACGAACGTGTAACGGAAACATACTCATACAGGTCGTTATCTGCACGTCAAGTTCAGCCACCCATATCGCTTGAAAAGGGGAGCCGTTCATAGCTTGATAAGTCAAGTCATGTCCATAAGTCAGGATCAGAAAGACTTTAAGGAAATTATGAACATAAGACATGATCTGATGCTAATGAATACCCACAAGAATTCGTTAACTCCATAATGAAGCCAACAAGAAGCAACCGCCTTTCTTCAGATATAATACATAGGTCGGATAAAAAGTAGTGGCAACACCTCTATAGTTCTGAAATGACTTTATTACCTGATGTAAACACACTTACATTCCTTCAATATGATCGCCCCCCATGTGTACCACCTTCTGCCAAATTTGTGGATGGCGTCGTACACCATCAGTGCATCCACTTCTGTTGATGTCCAGCAGTGACCGCCCTACAGCACGAATAATCTCCTCTCTTCCGTTGTAACGTGTCCCTCGCAGTTGTTCTTTCATTTGGAAAAGAGATCAAAATCGCACGGACTCATATCGGGTGAGTATGGCGGATGTTGCAATATCTCCCATCGCCAGCGGTGAAGGAGATCCTAGACAGCATTAGCAGTATGAGCCCTTGCATTGTCATGAAGGATGATGGGGTTCGTTGCCAACAAGTGTTGTCGCTGTCTCCTGAGTGCTGGACGAAGATGATTACGCAGGAAATTGCAGTAGTAGGCAGCGTTTACTGTCTGTCGTTGAGGTACAGTGCAGTGCAGTATCACTCCATCAATGTCATATGTCACAATGAACATCGCCTTCACATTACTCTGTGTAGGGCGCACTTTCTTTGGACGAGGAGAGCCAGGATGCTTCCATTCATTTGATTATCGCTTCAAGCGCGGTTCGTGTGAGCGAGCCCAAGTTTCGTCCAGAGTGACGATCCTTCCAAGGAAGTCATCACCTTCCTTCTGGTACCGGTCCAACAAGTCCTGTGCAATTACATAACGTTGCCATTGTTGCACCTCGGACATTCTATGGGGTACCCAAGAATATCCTGCAGAATGTGGAGCACGGTTTTGTGATATACGCTTACGTCAGCAGCTAACTCCCGCGCAGCCCATCGACGATCGACATCCAGCAAAGAAGCAAGAAGCTGAATTGTGTGGTTGTCAACATGGGGTCGTCCTGAACGACGGCTGTCCTGAATGGCATCCTCCCTTCATAGAACAATTTCACCCATCGTGCCGCAGCATCACCACATGCTTCTCGCAGTCCCTGATAACAGTTTTGTGCATTACGACCTCGTGCAACTTCAATTTTTATCCATGAGCGTTGTTCTTGATTCGTAAACTTGTTAGGGTGCTTGAATTGGGCTCCTGCACTCAAAAACGATGCACAACACTCAAAAACGATGCACAATGTAACTCAATGAAACACAACCAGAGTCACTCACTGCACTACTTCAACTGAACTTATGCTATCAGCTACAGACGGCGCTAGTGCCACCTGACGCACATCTTTCATGTTACAGCAGTGTTGCCACTACTTTTTATCCAACCCTTGTGTACCGTGGCACGGTTTTTATCCCACATGTTAAGGGTATTTCCACAAAATTTATATGCAACGGGAACCGCTTCCATGTTAGGACTATTTTAAAAACTAGACATATACTCCGCGGGACACTGATGAAAGCTGGACCTGTCAGTGGTGACCAGCAGACGAAGCAATTTGTGTGCAGCATTCCATGTGACTGCGGCAGATGTTATATAGGCGAAACAGGCTGATTTTCAGAAATAGCTCATGCATTAAGTAGCACAAATTCAATCTGACGCACGATCTGCTCAAAAATTCTAAATCAGCTAAACAGGCATATGAGGGTCAGAAAATTCGTTGGGAAGAAGCGAAGGTTTTGCAGATTGCATCGAACACCATCTACAGGAAATACGTATATGGAATCAGCCCACATGTCGCTGGTAGCTCAACCAACCGCTCAACCCAGCTTGTCTGTCTGTCTCATCCGAACTGCCATCATTGAAGAGGGGGTTTGAAAATTACAACTCCGCGCAGTTTAGATCATACGGGAAACTTACATTTTTATGTTTGTATATACGGTGTCTCATTTAAGTAATTGTTTTGCTTTCTGTTTTGCCCTATGTGGTATTTAGAAATTTCGTCTGCTTGAATTTAATTCTTGATACTTGTTGCATCTATATGCATATCCACTTTAGCCTTAAACGTGAGTTTAAGGTCGAAAGACTGTGGCCACATGTGCTACGCCTTATGTACCTGTACGTGTGCGTTTATGTATCTTTATCTTAACTTCCGCAAATGGTTTATTTCGCGTATGTGTAATATATCCTTCCTTGTGTCTGTTCTGCAGATAAACGCGCACAATTTATCCACCAACGGAACATGAAATCAAATTGGCTGCTTAGGGGCTCTTCTGATTGGTTCAGAAAAATATTATGTGATAAAGATATTGTGATTGGTACAGACGACCGGCCAGTTCTGCAGCTGAATATAGACGGCGGTAGTGGTATGCGCAGATGACCACTGCGGTTGTTTTCAATTCTGCTATACCAATTGTCAGAGGGTGATAAGGACAGGGACCGATGGGGATTATGTCGATTAGGCGTATTTGAGTAGGCTTTATATTTGTGCACGGAGGCAGACTCCAGTTTCCGAAACGTTGTTACAAAAAAAATAATAATAAAACACTGGATAATGTCCGTAAGTCAACAATTTTATCGACATCCATAATTATGATATACTGCTATATTAATTTTGGTTACAATTTATCTGCCTTAGATGCAGGTTATTTTTATTCTATTAAAATCGAAAGCCAACTATAATATGCTATGGGAATGCTTATATTGTGTTCGGTTAATATATCCTGTCTTGTGTTGATTCTGATGTCTAGAAATGGGTACTAGTTATCTTGATTGGGCATAACTAAGTAGGCTATTTACCTTTGGAGAAAGGCAGAGTTCAGTCTTCAACGCTTTATGTCAAATAAAAAGCAGACCAATGAATAACGTCCAGAAGTCAAAGAGTTGTATCAAAATTCATAATTATGATATACTGCTCTATGCATTTTGGCTACAATTTATCTACCTTCAGATACAGGTTATTTTTATCCATTACAATAAATCATACAATATCAATTATAAAATACAATATAAACGTTGATGGTTAATGTAAGCACATTATAACATTCAGTTTAAATTATACACTAGACAAAGGAAAAATTCACTGCTATTAGTTTTAAACATTAAAGAAAACAGTAAATTAATATGTAAGATTTGAGGCTTTCACGGCGGTGACTATGAAGAAAGCAGTCTTCTGGGATTTGGCACCGTGTATATGTGGTGTTAACCGACGTTTCGGAGGATACGTTCCTCCGAAACGTCGGTTAACACCACATATACACGGTGCCAAAACCCAGAAGACTGCTTTCTTCAATAAATTAATAGATAGCATTACATGTCTTTAAGCTAGTGGACTATTTGAGAACATAATTGACCTTGCAGATTTTACACAAAGAAACTTGATATGAATGCATTAGACTTGAGATTTTGATGGTGGTGAAGATATATATTATGATATTCTGGTTTACAAGGCTGCATAGCCTGCTAGGTATCTCCCAGCACATCAAAGGAATATATTACATCAACAATATGGATAGAAATAATTACAAAAATCTTGCTATGCGGAGGGTTGAGGCAGTACTGATATTTTGATGTCTTATAAATAAAACACATAAGAATTATAAGCGGGTCAGTGAACGTGCAAAGGAAACACGTTTATCAAGACTGATTTAACTAGGACACAGCAAAGCAACTGTCCCGGGGCTCCATGTTTAACTTCTCATCTTTCACAGTAGATTCATCTTTTATTCCAGTTTCCACCACATTCACATCCCATTCATAATAAAATACCCTGCAAGTATGTGTACATGAACAATTGTGTACATCAGTGCCAGGCTACCTGAATCTGGCACAGCCTTATACAGAAGTGAGAGAATATTCTCAAGAAATTCTCTCTGACATCCTAGATAAGTCTACCATACTTTCATGAGAAGATCCCGATTTAGGTAAGATTCTAAAAGGCAGAATTTAATAGGATAATATTCAATACTGTACCAATAAATACAGCATTTTTGGTAGTATTACTAGTATAATTCTCCATGATACTCTACCTAAATTTATAATTTTCTGGGGATGTAAGATGCTGTAAACTATAGCATACATAAAGATTTTGAAAGCCTAAATTAATAAATTAATTAATAAACCTTAATTGACGCAAGTAAAGAGGCTGGTCTAGAAGTAAACACTGATAAAACTAAGTATATGTTGCTGTCTTGTCACCAGAATGCAGGGCAAAATCATGATATAAAGATAGGAAATAGATGTTTTGAAAATGTGGCACAGTTCAGATATTTGGGAACAACGATAACAGATCAAAACCTGATTCAGGAGGAAATTAAGAGGAGTTTGAACTCGGGTAATGCTTGCTACCATTCAGTCCAGAACCTTTTGTCTTCTCATCTGCTGTCCAGAAACATAGAAATTACAATATACAAAACTATAATTTTGCCTGTGGTTCTGTATGGGTGTGACATAGACTGGGGTGTTTGAGAACAGGGAGTTGAGGAAAATATTTGGACCAAAGAGAGATGAAGTGACAGGAGGTTGGAGAAAACTGCACAGTGAGGAGCTTCATAACTTGTACTCTTCTCCAAGTGTAATTAGAATGATCAAGTCAAGGAGGATGAGGTGGGCAGGGCATGTAGCAAGAATGGGAGAGACGAATGCATATAGGATATTGGTGGGAAAGCTAGAAGGAAAGAGGTCACTGGGAAGACCAAGGCATAGGTGGGTGGACAATATTAAAATGGATCTTAGAGAGACAGGATGGGATGATATTGATTGGATTGATCTGGCTCAGGATAGGGAACAGTGGAGGGCTCTTGTGAACATGGTAATGAACCTTCGGGTTCCATAAAATACTGGGAAATTCTTGAGTAGCTGCAGAGCTTCTCCAGAAGGGCTCAGCAACATGAGTAAGTAAGTAAATTAATAAAATAAAATTTAAATGCAAGTATGCATGAACAAGATTTCTAATAATTCCTGATTTCTGATAATCTGTTAGGCCAAATTTTTGCATGATATAAAGTTTTTCTATTTTCTGACATATGAAACACAACATACCACTAACTTTGCTTTCATATCTATGATTTTAATTTCCTTGGCAGTACATTTTCAATGCAGGTCTTCAAATTCAAATTTAGAAGTTTCAAGTTTTTGACCAGGCAGAAAATTGCCACTTCTTTTGACATTATGACACATGTATGGACTTCAAAAGGAACAGTTTATCAATACCAAATTTAAATATACTGTGTATGTACAAGTTTTATGGCACAAGTCACTTTTACTTACCAAATAGAAGCAGGAATACAACACGCAGGAATACACATCCAAATTCATAGTTCCATTAGCAGTTATTGGAGGTTCGTCAATGGCTTTACAATATTAGCACACAAGTCATCACCAGCTTTAAATTCAGCACAGTCACTGTAACTATTCAGTACCGCCTAAAGCACTTATGATGCCACTTTGATTGACTTCATAACAGCACCATCTTTAATTCTGTCCGAAATTACATCTTCCATTCACATATTCCCACAACTTCAGACCCTAGTGTTCCCCTTAGAATTCATTTAATACTCAACATTTTATTAGCGAAATATACTTTATATCTAGTGGGGCAGAGGATGCCAGATGAGACAAGAAAGAGAAAAGAATTATATATTCTTCTATCGACTTAGAACGGGGATGAAGTAACATGAAGATGGAGAATATTATGTAGACAAGAATTTCATATAATCAATTGTGATTTTCGCAAAATATTAGACTCATCAAATCTAGCAGGATAAGATGGGCAGGGCATGGAGCAAACACAGAAGAGGTGAGAAATTGATGTATGATTCCAAGGAAACACATTAATTGGGAAGATATTATTAAAATAGATCTTAGAAAAACAGGGTATGATGATATGTACTTTCTTCAAAAGTTTTGAATCCTGACGTAAAAGTCGGGGCATTTGGTAATGCAATCACAAGACTGCTAATATTAGCAGAACCATATGTAGAGGGTAGGCTGCAGATTTGATCCCCTTCTTTCCTTCGGTGGTTAGGACAACAGGAACAATGCTAATTCTTCACAATTACAACCAAGTTGTAAATTGGGGTTCGGTGATTATGTGTCCAACATTATGTTATGAATGTACATTGTAAAACAAATGTTAATAAATTTTTCAAACCACCTCTAGAAATTGGGTATAACTGTATTTTGTTTCCAGTAGCGATGGGGTACATCGTTCATTAAAAAGTGGGTTATGTTAGCTTCGAAATGTGAAGTGAGGCCTAGGATTCTAGTTTTATTGTCCCAATATTTCAACAAATAATTTTATAATGCAGCAATATGTCCAACTTGCATCAGAATGGCATTACTTCGAATCCAGGCTATTCCACTGCAGAAGACGTGTCTTTCCTCAGCCCCTCCATTCAGCAGAGGAATAGAATTGTAAACTAGGTGGCAGTCTCTTTCTCTCACATCACATCCCCCCACCCCCTTCATTCATAATCATTATTCCGTTCCATATCTCATTCAAAATTAGCCACAGGTGTGCTTAAGTTTGGAGAAAGCACACATTCAGGTCCTTTGTTCATATCGCAAATTCGACTTTGTGCATTCTTGCTTACTGAAAACATTAAGTTTCGTCCAATATAAAAAAAGCCGTCTGTAAACCACAACGAACTGAAATACAAAATCGCTTGGTTTAATCAGGTGACACTTGTACCGACGTTGCCGAAATCACAAATGGAGATATAATTGCCGTTACGAAATTTGGAAAACGCAAAAGGTACAAAAACGAATATCGTCCTTTCAACTAATATTGGAAACATATTTTCTGACCGCGTTGACCGCTTCCGAGAGTGCGTTCTAATACTGACTGCCACAGAAAATTGCCGCGATCACGGATTGTCTCCATGTAGCGCAAAATCGTGGTCTCGATTGTTTCGATATCCTCTTGTACTTTGAATGTTTGGATGAAATTGTAAACAACGAAACATCAAATTCAGACCGTTGTTTACTTTCGACCCTTACTAATCCTCCATGCTGTAGCCTAATACCGAAAGAATTGGCTTCAGTCGTAACGCTTCTTACATGTTTTCGGAAAGTGCTCAGTTCGAATCTTGGCTGGTTCACAAATTAGAGTAATGAGAATTTCATGCTCCCCCACACTCCCTCCATAAAACTGCTGTGGCAATATTGTTACAAAGGTCACGATCATTTTCAAAATTTTTTGCAACTTACCATTAAACGCTCATAGTATGATATACTGACAGTGTCGTTATACCATAAATTAATTAAATTTGTATTTTAATGTTCTAATTTATTACAGATATCCACGAATATAGCATACATTTCGTCCAGGTTTAAACTTATTTCCAAGATGCAGTGTCTCAAGCTTCTTTTCAATACATCGATTTTCCATGCAATTAATGCTGCTGGCCCAATCCAGTGTTATCAACCAATCATTAGTGGACCACTGATGGTTCACTTCAAATTTATGACCATCTGCAAATTCAGATCTGGTGGCATTAAGTTACACACGATTCTTCTGCTGCAAGCATTTTTCATATGGCATATTCATGCAACAAGGAAAAATCGTTTACAAATCTGTCCAACAATGTTGATCATTGTTAAAAACGATATTGCATTCCATTATTAATTTTGTTCATAGACCAGATTTTAAAGTACAAACTAATTAGCTAATTCAGCTGAATTCCAGTTCTGCACTCACAGGAAGACTTCTGTGTGGCAATTCTATTTTCTGAAGAGATGTGTATCTGCAATAAGTGAACAAGACATACAAAGTACGGAAAACCACAACCAACAAATGATTCAAAACTGGATGTAGTGTTGACAGCTTTGCTAAAGATCATGTAACTTGGGTTCGGCATTGCAAAACCGAAATTTAGTTATATGGCTATTGACAAGAGAGCAGGATATTACTATTCCCCATGCTTGGGCTTCTCTGCTCGAGTCTTGCTGCTTTCCCACTTCCTTGCTTGGCTTATTCTTCAGCCCTCCAGATGGAGTACATTCATCCAAAATGTCAGCATACTTTACCAGACTGTACACTGTATACATCATCACATCTCAAATGACAATATTCTTCCTACCCTTTGTGGTTTCCCTCAATATTTCTAAAACATTTCACACCCACTACTTTGATTTTCCTTTTGTTTCTCTTTGTTACAGTTAAGGGTCTACATTTCAGCACAATATGTTAGTCCTGGTTTAAAATACACTTCTATTGACTGCTGGTTTCCATTGCCTCTGTTCCGTAACATTCTCTTTGTAATTTGATAAATTCAGAATATGGTGTATTCTGAAATATGTTTCCACAGTATATCTACAAATGTAGTGATGGTATGTGAGAAACTTGCAGCATGTCAAGATGACTGGTTTGAGGTAGAAACTTGTAGTGTGGGCTATATGAATGAATGAATAAATAAATAAATAATAAAGTATTGTTGCATTGACAGTAAAAATTATATATGTTCATTTAAATGTAGTGAGCTGTGGAAAACTTCAATTACTGATACACTCCTTTACCAATTTTTGCTTTCACAATCATAACGGTGAGAAAATAATGTATTACATTCACAACAAATTAAGAGGTAAATAGAAACTTGATGTTTTTATCACGCATTTAGTGCATGAGAAAGTCCAATATGATCCATTCCAAATTTGCTTACACATCTCTCTTAGCATCTTATGAAAACCAATCAAGAGTTTAAGACAGTGTTACAATTAATTATTAACACATCAATGTTACTTTTTAGTCTTTTATGTAAGATATGTTCAATCATCGCAAATAACTGATAATTCTTAACTACAGAATGTTTAACAAAAGCTCACCAGCCTGCCATCACTTGAAAACAGCCCATGGTCCACAAGCAAAAATAATTACTTACTCCAGCTTCAAATGACCATGGAAAATTATGGAAAACTGTTCCAGTATCACAGTCTCAGAAGTATTCAAACAACATATGTGAGTGATAAAGGTCTTACACTGAACCAGATCTCAGGTTTATGTCCACTTATCACATTCTCTATGCTGGGTCCAGTCTAGCTGTGAAATTCCAACTGGGGACCAGGGCTCTGATAACATGTTGACTAGTCTGGATCTCGGGGATGATAATGCAGTTCTCAACTTGCAAAAACAAAGTGCAGATACTAATCAAGGATAATAAAAACCCTAATAATTTTTGGGATTACTGGGGTTTTGGACTTTGTTACATACCATTATCAGAACCCTTCCAGTAGGAGTTGGTACAAAACCTGTTCCAGGTTTGTCTCTTTCATTGCTTTCTAAATCATTTTCATTTCTGTTTAAATCACAATTGTAACACTATAATCTCCCACTCTCTCTCCAAGTTTCAATAACTTCTCCTCTGTGCAGAATACACTAACATTACTCCTCACAATCTCACATCCCATCAAGCTGAACTTTTCAACCATCATAAAAAATTCACCTCTGCAGCTTGCTGAGAGAGAGAGCACAATGCACCAACTACTCTGGTGTAAATATGAGATACTACATGCTTTCAAAAAAGGGGAAAGTCATCTTTATTTGAGTATATACATTAACACGAAAAAAATGTCAATACCCTAGGATGAAAGACATTAGGCTTATTTAAATATGCTACATTATGAAAAAACAAAGTAAGTAATAGTTGTCTGAACAATTTTCATATTTTTAAAAAGATGCATTTGCATTTGATAATGAAAAATAAAACTGACAGAAAATTTAAAGGCACAAAACCAAATAGAAACAGAAATCTAAGCTGACCTAAAATTGTTAATTTCTGGTAACACACGAATTTACACCCCTAAAAATTAACATTAAAAGCATAAATAACCTTGAGGCAAAATACTCATTTACCTTCCTGTGACTATATGGTTAAATGCCTTTAATTTGTAAGTTTAACATGGAAAAGACAAATCTAACAACACATTTTACACTGTGTCACAATGCTTGCTATCCTTAACCAAATCACGAGGTGTAATCCAAGATGGGTTTGGGTCCCGGTGCACGGATGTACACACAACCTTATCCTTCAGTGGCCATACCTGCAAAATAAATTTGATTCTACAGTTCCCTGTATCTGCACTTTTTGTTGAGTTGTTCACATTTTGATAATTTATGATCAAAAAGCATTTTGAAGTCAAGAACACAACAGTTACAGGTACCATTCCAAAAATTTTTCTTCTACTGTCTTACAATTTAAGCTATAGAAATTACAAAAAAAAAAAGTGTACTATATAAAGAATAGTATTTGTAGTAGAAAATCAATCTCGTGTTAACATCACCTCATTTAAACCATGAATTTGTCATACACATTTTATAAAATGTGAAATGTTTTAAATATTTGGGTAGCTTGTTAACAGATGATGGAAGGTATGTGTGAAATTAAATCTAGGATTGCCATGGTAAAAGCTGCATTTAGCAAGAAGAAGAATCTTTTTACCAGCAAATTGGACTTAAATTTGAGAAAGAAACTAGTGAAATGCTACATTTGGAGCATGGCTTTGTATGGGGCTGAAACTTTGACACTTAGGGCAGTAGATCAGAAACACCTGGAAAGCTCCGAAATGTGGTGTTGGAGAAGGATGGAGAAGATCAGTTGGACCGATTATGTGAGAAATGAAGAAGTGTTAATCAGAGTCAGTGAGCAGAGGAATATCCTACACGAAATAAGAAAACGGAAGGCTAATTGGATTGGTCATGTTTTACGCAGAAACTGCCTTCTAAAAGAAGTTATCGAAGGAAAGATAGATGGGCGGATAGAAGTGACAAGAAGACGAGGAAAAAGACGTAAGAAGATGCTGGATGACCTTGGGGACAGAAGAGGATACTGTCATTTGAAGGAGAAAGCTCTAGATCGCATCAAGTGGGGGAACTGTTTTGGAAGAGACTGTGGACCTGTCATCTTGACAGATTACTAATGAATGAATGAATGAATGAATGAACTTTATAGCACTCAGAATTACTGGGTTTTTGGACTTTCTCCACCGTCCAGTATTCTAGAGACTAGACAACATGACACTTCAGAAACTCAATCCGTTTCTGTCCTCAGGTAGGGGAGGGGGGTTCCAAAACGTGTTTTCTAGTCTCTAGAATACTGGACAATGAAAAAAAAAACAGTAATTCTGAGTGTTACATACCATCATTAGAACCATTTAGAATCTACATTTCATAAGCCAGGTGCAAAAACAGATTCCTGCTGCATAATCTAGTTAAGCTCATGCACAACAATTATTCTATATGGACGAAATTTTGTCTTGTGGCTGAGAATGCAGAGTTCAGTGAAATATCTGCTTCCTGTCCGAGGCATATTAATGATGTGTGAGAACTTTGAATGCCTTGAAATCTCGTTTCATTTACCACATCCTACTTGGATTATTTCTTTTCATCCTAAACTGAAACTGTGGTATATCACTTTGTGACAAGCACCACATTAGACTCATGTTTGTGGGTATATATGAATGAAGCTCCAAATGCATCTTCTGTAAGTTTTATTCCTTAGGAAGGATTTTACTATGAACACTTGCTGCTAAACCATGCACCTGTTTAGAAGAGTCATTACTGCAGACCTTACAAAAAGTCTGAGCAAGCAGAACCTTCAATCACTATTGTACCTACCACAATCTGTGTCTTCATTCTCAAGAAGAATCCAAGATTACAAAAACAAGTGGTTTAATCACATCTTAAGAATGGATGCTTCAAGACTGACCCAAAAATTATAGGATTACCAACCAGACAGGTGAACATATGAGTATATCAGATGACCAAGATGATGATAGGATAGTATCTGAGATACAACAGGCTAATAAAGCATATATAAAGTAGCTGATGACAATGATGATGATGACAACCTATCACATTGTGTTTTGCCTTTTCTGATTACTTTTACATTCACAGATGTTCTCTCAAAATATGAGACCATGTTTCACAACTATACAGACCTGGTAAAATCATAACAACAATGTAGTTGTAAGGTATTGAAGTTTACTGTTGAAATTAGTTATCTGATATGTGCCATAGGAAGGGCACATGAAATGTTTTAATCCAGCAAACACTCTTTTGAACTATACATACACAGTGTCCAGATTCTGTTAGGAATGTCCTGGATGGTGTCGTGACAGTCTCCTTTCATCGCCAACTTAACTTTTGGGAACAACCAGAAATCTGCTGGAGCCAAATCTGGTGAATATGGAGGATGATCAAGGACTGTGATCCCTTTTCTAGCCAAAAAATCGCACACAATCTTCGATTTGTGGGATGGGGCATTGTTGTGGAGGAGCGACCAGGAACCTTGCTCTTGATATTCAGGTCGAATTTGAAGAATTCTAGCCCACAAACGATTGAGGACTCCAAGATGATAATCAGAATTCACTGCTTTACCTTCTGGCAGAAATTCCTTGTGAATGATTCCTTTGGAATCGAAGAAAATGGTTAGCAGTGTCTTTACTCGACTCTTTTGCATGCAATACTTTCTTTGGTTTCGGCTTCCTTGGGCTCAACCACGCTGCACTCTACCATTTTGTGAGAGGCTGATACTGAATGAAAACACCATGTCTTGTCACCAGTAACAATCAATTTTGTAAATTTTGTATCACTTTGGGCCGACCGTAACATGTCTTTGCAGTGTTCCACTCTGGCATGCTTTTCATCACCTGACAGCACGTGCAGTACAAACCGTGCATAGACCTTCTGTTTGCCCAAATCCTCGGTCAAAATTTGATGCACAGTACTTTTTGGCATTCCCAAAAGCTCCTCAATGAGTCCTGCAAAAACACATCTGTCTGATGCAAGGATTTAGGTCACTTTTTTCACATTTTCTTCAGTGCGACTTATTCTCGGCTTTGATGCACGTGGAGCGTCTTTGATGCCATCACGAAATACATCATACCATCGAAAAATGTTTGAGCAACTCAAACAATCACTACCGTACACACTTTCCATCATTTCATACACTCCTCCGGGTGTTTTGCCTAACTTCAAACAAAATTTGATGTTGGCTTTCTGTTCAACCGCCATTTTCTGATGAGCATCAGAACAGTACTGTTACATTCAAGGTCAGAATACATGATATAGCGATGCTTGTGCTTTGAAACTATAGACAGCCACAGCTGAAACTTCAAGATTCTTAATGCCACAACTCGCCAACAGATGGCATTGCAGGGCAAAATTAAAAAAAAATTAGTCCTAACGGATTCTGGACATACTGTGTAGATATCCATACATGGACATGTTGTGACAGTAACAATGTCCAAGAAATTCAAAAGCTGTTCCCTTCTCTTACTTTCTCTAGAAACTAAAAGCCCATCTTTATGGCATAACAGTACTGACAGAGGAGAATGACTGTGCAATCAGCATTCTCCATTACACAGTCATATACCACTAACAAAGCGCATGCCTCTAGTGGATTACGAGAAACAAGAAAACTTACTTTTGGAACTCCCACTCCCTGTTATCCAGGGGGCACACCTGTCTTGTCTTGAGCCAGCGAGAGATACAATGGAAGTGGAATGCATGCTGAAACCAATGCAACCATGGAAATCAACACAAAAGACAAGCAATGTAAAGATAAGACAAGACATGAGTCAGAGGAATACTGCTTTCAAAGAACATGAAAGACATACGTGTATTTTGTCTGGCAAAACCTTGAAGCAGAGTCCATTACTAACTCCATGGATCAGATTCCTTCTTCAGGCACTAATTCCATACTTTTTATGAAACCCAGAGTCACTACTGTGTTCTCAAGAACTCACTACTGAATCCTATCTTGAGACAGGTGAATCCAGTCATCTCCTTATTATAAATTTTAATATTATCCTCCCACACGTGTCTAGATCTCCCTAGTTGTTCTTCCCTTTCAATTTTACAACTTTCTTTTCTTCAAATTTCTCATCCCTCCCATGTATGCTACATGCCCTGATCACCTTACCCACCACAATCTGATCATCCAAATAATATTTCACACTGGAAATTAATGTCATTTGCAACACTGCACAAAATAATGCACATAATTGGTGTGCTTTACATATACAAAATAAGAATATTACTTTCATACTGATCCTTCTCCGTGAATTTAACAGCTTCGTTACTCATAATGTAGAACACATTCAAAACTATCCCCAGTACCTGGCTGTAACCTATTGCTGATTAAGACCTACAGCTCTCCCCTTCTATTCATTAACTAACTGCGAGAAGCAGAATTCTTCTTGAGAACCAAACAGCTGAGTCACTCAGCTGTTCAAAAATTCCCCAACCATTTATGGCATTTTGTTTTACTTCCATGCTCACAGCAGCCTGGTGCTGGTCAGCATAATCTCCAATTCATTACATGTAACTAAAACAAAGAGTCTTGTGTATACAGTAATGAGCAGGACCCGGATTTTGATGACATGTCATCTTTTTTTCCTTACATCCTATGCGATGCTCTTAAATATATAAATCTCAGATATGAGCTGCTGGTTACAGAAATGTAAATTTTATAGGTAATTTTTTGTCATTTTTTGACATTTTTAGGTTTAAGGACATTTTTTCATTTTGGGGGTAATTTTTTGATAAATTTTTGGAATTTTAAGGGCATTTTTTGTCATTTTTGGCCATTTTAGGGAATTTTTTTTCATATGTTTTCTGAAATGTGAATAACATGGAAGTGAAGCGTTCTCTTTTTTCTCCTTTGGGTCATTTTTCTGGATTTTTTCGTTCATTTTTGTAATATTTTCAGGTCATAAAAATCCGGGCCCTGCATATTAAATTTTTGGGTCATATTTTAGGTCATTTTTCTGGATTTTTTCGGTCATTTTTTAAATATGTTCAGGTCATCAAAATCCGGGCCCTGGTAATGAGCCTTCAGGTTCCATAAAATGGGAATTTCTTAAACTAGCTGAGAAACCATCAGCTCCTCAAGAATGATTCTGCTACATAGAGGTAGTTACTTAGACAAAAATATAAAACAAATTACTTTTGAAATCAAATGAGAAAATGTGATGGAAAGAGACGAGGAGCTACATCAATTTCACAAAGAGTTGAACCTATTCCCCTTGTGTATCATTTCCTTATTTTGAGAAAATAAAAGTAGGCTTATGAGATCACCATGCTCTCTGTGTGTATCCCCCTTATCAACTTTTGAATGCCTGAACCAGTCTTTATGAAACTTGGTATATATATTATGGTACCTGAGCCCATCCCAGTGGTGTACTTCATAAATCTCTCTCCCATCAGTCTGTGTGTCTATACGTGTACATTACTAATGCTGCTCAGCAACAGCTCAGTAAAAACATTACAGCAGCAACGAATACACACGCAACAATAGCAGAACTGTTGGATGCATCATTTTCTATGTGGTCCATGTCATATCAAAGGAAAGTAGATGATTAGTTCTTCCCAGAACTTCTTGTTAATTATGGTTATCAACCACAAGCTTATTCTATACAAATTGGCTTCAAAAATATATGGGTTAGACTGAATTAAGGACAGACACAAATAACACTTGCATCACAGCCAATTATGCACTACTGTGAATATCCATCCAAATAACCAACAAGCAATCCTACACTCAGAATTGTGTACACTGGTTTGCTTTATATCCAGTCTTTTTCTGCCTTCTCAAAGATACAGCTCCCATTATTTCTTCCACCTATATTCACATTCTTAATGTTACAAAGTTCTCTGACACTGTCTTCTCTTATTTTTACATTATGTAGCTAAGTGCTTTATTTATGATTTTAAATGCCTTACCAGACCTTCCTGACAATCGCCAAAACACAAAAGTTCTCAGAAGCACTGTCCAGACAAGCAACACTTACCTTCATTTAGACTACAGCAGTATAAATGAAAATGCAACATATGATACCTATTACAGTAAAATCTCCACTTAAGGTCTGTGGGAACAGGGTTTCCACAACTTGAATCCAGAAAAATCTCAAATGGGGGTTATAAAGAATTCAAACAGAAAATAACACTCCATTGTTAATTACAAATATCAACTTTCATCTAGAAAGAATGGACATGTGTGTTATAAAAGTTTAGAAGCAACATGAAATAGTACATGTTTACACTGGTATACTGCTCCTAGTCACTCTTACCATATGCATCTGCAAAAGGTCAGCAAGATAACAGGCACACTTCAAGGCTCCTTTGAGCAAACACCCTGCACCCATGAAGGCAGTATTTCACAACAGATATAGGAATAGAAAACGATGTAAGCATATCCAAAAACTTGCAAAATGTAGCTACAAGAACTACAAGTGACACACACACTAGCTCATCAAGGTCTTTTTGGTGGGGGGAGAGGAATTGATGACCTCACTGAAGCATTGTCATAAGTAATCAAACTCCTCTAAAGCAGTTTGGGCATTGGCACCTGTGTATAGGTGCATCAGAACAGCTTAATTTATACACACAAACAGACACATAGTTGGGTTGATTTCACATGGTGCCACTTGGTCTAAAAGGCAAGGTGACAAAGTATTTTAACATACGAGTACAAACTAGTCAAGAATATATAAACTAGTTAAGAAAATACAGCCACTGCATAAGAAAATGAATTTAAAAATGTATAATCAAAGAACAGCTCATGAAGAATCATAATATATACAGAATAAAAGCAAAATCAATAATAGGTAGTACACAACTATTTCAACATTATACAGTCTCAACTACTAACGGTGCTCTTAATCAAATCATAAATAATTAATTATTACTTACATTGCAGACACCCCAGGCAACAGTACACTCCTCACTTGTGGCAGATGCTTGGTTTGCCTGGCACTCAATGCAAAGATCCATTATATGATTTCTGCAAATGGCACAATTGTCTACCACAATGTCTGTAAAATACATATAATCATCAGCAGAAAAGATTATGAACTCTGACGTGTCATAAAGCCAAGGTGATTGCTTCGTATATAAAATTATATAATTCAAAATTCTTAAAAATAATTGACCTCTATAGAATATCGGTAACATGTACACTGAACGAAATGACCTCAGTGCAATTCATATGAGGAAAAAATCTCTTATTCAGCAAAAACTTACCCCAGGCCCACAAAGCAACAGCATTCCACTGCAAAGAACGAAAGAACTATGTTACTCTTCAACCTGACGAATCCTAACAGACTGTAATAATACGTCAGTACCTTTCATACCAGTACAAACGCAATCAAAAATAAAAGGAATCTGGAAATATTTTACTATTCACCTTTTTCACTTCAAACCTTTTCTTTTCCCCTTTTCCACTACTCGAAGTTGGTAACTCAATTTCTTCATCATCTATATCCATAGCTGACGCCATTATTAGTTCTCTTGACTAGGTTTTAGGACCAATTACCTAGCAGCCTTTTGAAGCAGATCACTACAGACACAGACTAAAACCATCCACTTCGAACCGCAAACGAAGTCGGAAAACACCAGACGTTACTCACGTTACTAGCTTTACTAACTGTTACTAATGCCTAATTCCTGCTGTGTCAAAACGGAGCATGGGAATAAAACGCACGGGAGCCACGGGAGTACCAATGATACGTGATAGGTGTGCCAACAGTGTTTGCCCGGTTTGCCCTCTGTATTCCTCAAAATTTCCCTCTTGCATGCTGTTTGGGCGAGGGTACACCAAGGAAACTAGCAACCGCAACGCAACCAAAATTTCCGAGAACTTAGTGGAACACACGTTACTCTATAGAGCAGCGAAAATTGAGGAAACGGTAACGCAGTTTCCACAAAGTTGGAAGAAACATTTTCCCTTGCATCTTAACTTAACGGACGGACCAGAATGAAACAAATCAAATTAAATGAATAAATTATCCTTATTATTAAAGTACACGTCAATAATGCAACAATATAATGGGAATCAAGAATATGTCACTCACTAAAAATGTATTTTAATACTTTATGATGTTATAATCATAGATTGTCAATAGAACACAAAGAATATTTTATACATTAAAAGGGATTATCAAAATTTCTAAAATGTCTCTAGTTTTACATGTTATTATTTTCTCGTTTACGACATGTAAAGAAAGACTGCACTGGTGACAAATACAACTCTCGAAAACTACGACAGCCGCAAGAGTGCAACAGCAGCATTCTAGGCACGAGATAGAACAAAACATTGACACGCATGGGAGCATGGTGGACAACTGAACAGTGTGTTGGTCATCCCAAAAGCAAAAAGAAAAATCTGATGGACAATGTGAGGCTGAAAACATGTTGTACACTAGAAAATACATGTAAAAACTAGGGACATTTTAATGATTTTAACATAGTACAGTATTAAAATACATTTTTATTGAGTGATATATTCTTTGTGTCTTTTATAATGTTGCATTATTGACTTGTACCTTAATAATAAGGGCAATGCCTCAATGCAATGGGATGCTAAAATATAAAATAAAATTTACCATTGTGGGACTGTGCACATGCTATGAGGACATACAGGGGGAGTCACTTCCTCCCACCCACCCATTCACCAATCCAAAAATCCATTGGACAAGAGGCTGGATAGGCCCCAGAGATGTAACAAGGAGAGAAACCCTTTCTGCCAGAAATCAAACCACATTTGTTCAGGCCCTTAGCTGGTCATTTGACTTAACAAACTTACCTGGCTGAAGAACAGAATAAGATTAAGTCCTAGACATTTGATAAATTAAACTTGTATTAAAGAAAATTTACTTACAATGTAAACACATTTCTACTAAGAATGAAACTTAAAATCTTCAGCACAGTCACCAGTATCTGTAGCACTAGCTCCCAGACATTTAGCTATCATACCTCAAACTATACACACAATAATTATATAAGTTCTAAAACACTGGTCCTTTGAGAATGAGCTTATTGGCTGTTTCACAATATCAGTAAAATGAACATTTCCTACCATCTTTCAAATTTTAATCAATTATGGTTATCAATGACAGAAATTATGCACTACCATTGAAACATTCATTTATATTAAGATTTCTTTAGATAACCCGCATGGAAAGGGTCATGAAAAATCATGTGATGATCTGCAAGATCTGACACAGACGATGTATCTATATGAAATAATATATTTTAAGATATACTAAAGTAAAGGAAGCATGGAGCAATAGCAGCAGTGACAAATATCATATACACACAAAAAAAACTGTACATATGAATATATACTGTTGCATTAACAACTAGAAGCTTCATAATATTCTCACAGGCATTTCCAGGAAATCAGACTTCCCTAACGGAGCTTGACAACCATACTTATTCATGGTGTGGTAAAGGTAACAGAATCTGCCTTCCCCCTAAATTTTATTTTTTTAATATTATCTCAAGGATATTTAATGTATATAAAAATGTTATAAATTGAAATAACAACAAAGATAGGTACTGGGCATTGTATTGTACCATAAGCATCAAAACAGATTCTCTAAAATATAAACAGAAATTTCAAACAAAACCACAGAAATCTTAAATTTGTTATTAGTGACAGATGTGACTGGTCAGCTTGTGGTATACTGAGTTTCTCAAATCCACCAGGATAATTCCTTACAACTAGTATTCAGGGCACAAAACCAAAGGAACTGATAACCATAAAACTTCATCAAATAGTGTAATGTTTTCAGAAAACAGAACATGTAGTAAGGCAGGCCTCTCCAAATTTATGGCTCAAAGCCACTTTCAGACTTTCATATGTAACAGTAGGGAACAAAATACTTTTAAAAGTATACTCATATAAATATAAAACGTTTGTGCAGTGTTCCCCATTTCTCTTAGTTTTGGATGTTTGCTAGACAATCATAATCAAGTTTTTATAGTGCAGAACCACCACCAGTATTTCAGTGCCTGATTGGCAACTGTTTTAATTTATAAAGCAATCACTATGCCTTCCACAGCAATAAATAAGAGAAACTACTGTCATAACAAATAATCATGTCCTTATTTGAATGATTTTGAAATACACAGGCAACAGAGGGGCACTTTTAGTCATATTATGTAACATTAAAGAGACAGATGTTATAGTGGTACACAGGCTACAAAGTTGCTCAACAAAAACAATGAACATTCAGATTTATTTTACAGAATCTAAAATTAAATGCAATGAGAACCTGACTCTGCATCTCGCCAATCAGCATGAATGTACTTCACCATCTTCCTGCAGTCTTTCAAGCGCTCATGTATTAATGTTGGCCTGTATCTTGATTTGGTTGTAAAATCGAAATGTGTTTTCACTCTAAGTGAGAACCACTTTAGAGGAAAGAATTTTTCAAACCACAAGGCACATCAAATCAAACTGTGATGACTGTGACCTCAGTGATACATCCAAATGCATATATATGTTCTCCATTTCTAAATAGGACAAATTTCTTTGTTTATTTTAATAAATTATGCATGCCTACTGATAAAACATCATACCCATGAGCTACACATTGGATGGGCCTGTGATAAGAAGTTTCAACAGATATGAGATTTGAGGTTCTCATGGCGATGAGTATTAAGAATACAATGTTTGGGATTAGCACAACGTAGTTTGATAGCACCAATATTTCAGAAAATACTTCATCTCCATCATCTATGATGAAAATGGAAGCAATATGTTCCTCTGACAGAAAGGATATAACCCTTAAGAAAATATAGGTTGAAAATAAAGGCTAAGGATGCTGTACTTCTCAAACCTTCAACCTCCTTATTAGAAACCTGAAGATCTATTGCAGAGTCCGCAATATCCTGGGTAGTGGCAGACATAAGATAATTCACGATATATAGGGCATTCAATCAAGGAGGAAACTTCACAACACCATTGACCGGGCCCACTATTCCTCATAGATTGCTGCTGTAAGTGTAACGGCACGCATTTATCAGTGCTAATGACTCATTCTATTATCAGCAGTTACAGCAGCAATCTGTGAGGAATGTTGGGCTGGGTCAGCGGTGTTGCGAAGTTTCCTCCTTAACTGAATGCACTGGACTACACTGTACTATGTCCTTAGCAGTGGCATGCACAAGATCTCTCAGGGTACAATGATCTTGGTAGTGGAAGATATATCTTGAGATAGACAATGTTCTGGACAGTGCAGGCCCAAAACAGCTAATATAACCAGTACTCTGTTTACTGGTATACGTAAGATATCTCAAGCAGGTCTCAACTAAGGGCAGATGCTATCCACCTGATTACAGAGCTTTTTAAAGCTATTTTCAATGTCTGAAGCCATTCTAACAAGACATGTAGGAATGAATCATCTACAGCTAACAACAGGGAATATGACACACTATATATGCAGCGACACATAAATAACACATGCTCATCATCCCTTGGCCTTTTCAACTGATGCTTGAGCATGTACTTAGGTTTGAAGTCATCCTCAGGAATGGCGTGGCCAAGGTAACTCAATATGTCTAACGTCCAGGGTGGTCACAACCCGAAAATATTACGGGATATCCAGTGTTTTGGGCAACTGCAGGCCTGAGGTAACTTGAGTATACAATGTTCTAGATAATGGCAGGCCTAAGATATTCAATGTCTTGGGCAGTGCCAGGACTCAATAACGGCTTTTCAACAAGAAAATACTAATCCACAGATCCATGAAAGCAGCATTCCATGAGCTCCAAATCCACAGCCACATGGTTAAGTTCTGCTGTTTCAAAGTTACCATGTAAGGGTTTAACCTCTTCATAGCTTGTTTTCAACTATAAAACTCTCAAATATAAAGTTTAGGGAGAATATTACAAAAGAAACCTCTTCTAATGCTGATGAAAATTATGGTACACGTACATTTCTTGTGTATACTTAACATAAAATGTCTGCAGATCTTTTATCATCTTATGGAGTGATACACTAACAGTTGCAAGCATGCGGTTACTTGAAACAAGGATCAGGACACAGTACAATGCAATGGGTTTCATTTGGTTTTAGAAAATTTCTAAGCACTAATTTAAAATGCAGCCAAAAGATGGTCAGCTCTTAATACTTGTAATTATCTGTCCAATTTGCCACGGGCAAGATGTAGGTATTCTTTCAATCTCAACTGACAACTGTCTGTATCATATCACAAAACATACAATTGTCCAAATCATTTATGTGAAAACTGAAAGATTTAAATATACTTCAGCAGAAGTATGCTCATTAACAAATGTTTTAGGACATGATGAGAAACATTCAGGGTCTATAATGTGCACACATTAGATTCATGCTCAGCCTACTAGGTGCACTACATTCACTGTAGCAAAATGTGGTGATACAGAAACTCCGATTAATGCTAACAAGACACTGAAGGCACATTCTTCTTTCAACATGAAAAAAATCCCCATTATTGTTATAATGTGACAGATTTCTTCAAAGAGCATTTTGCTGGGGGATGCAATGCATCATACCTCACTACCAGTGGCAGTGCCTGAAATTAGCTGGCTGGCCTGGCTGATTAAGGATGGTGGTGCTCTAAGGTATGGTGTGAGCTATCAATGCTAACGTTTGTGTTGTACTGTAGTAGTAGTGTGATGAACGATGCCACTGGGATACAAGCAATATGGCACTGTAAGCTAGCCTTCTCACCAATTTCAAGACTAGGGGGGGGGGGAAAGCAGATTATACACCAGTGGTCAAAATATTCTCTGGGGCTTTAACAAAAGAGTCCAATGAGAGTGAGGCTTTTTCTTGATGTGGGTGATCAATCTGACCATCATTCAGAACTGGACTGACTAGCAGTAGTAGTAGTAGTAGTAGCCTTGAAGAGGACTCTCAATGGAGGTGGGTAACCTAACCATGAAGAATGGGATAGGTTAGTGAAGAAGTGGGCTGGATAGAGAAATGCACTTCTCAAGGAAACTTGTGGGCCGGATTAAGAGTCCACTTGTAGGTTTAACTGGGTCCAGCAGTTGGACCCCTCTGTCCCTGTCAGAAAATGACAAGAGAGCAGTTCAGGATATCCTGCTACACAAAGTTGTAAGCACTCACATCTCTCGGAAGGTTCAGCATCCCAATGATGGCTTGTCATTATGGTCAAATGATTTGAATTTTGGGACCCTCTAAGAGGGCCCTCAATTTCTACCCCTGCACTGGAGGGCACAGTTGCTGGATCTTCTGATGTCAAGGGGAACAGTCAAAATCTCCTGGGACTCTGATGAGTGGTCCATCAAGGGTGAAACTGAAAGAGGTCTTCTTGATGGGGTGAGTAAACTATCAGAAAGAACTGGACTGGTGAGCAAAGAAAGCAGGTTGGGAATGATTCCCCTATCAGGGGGCTGAGGCCTTGGTTGGTGCTTGGTTACAGGTCTAGCTGAGATGAAGTAGGGGCACCAGTGTAAAGACGGGATAGCTGGAAGGTCCCTGCCATTAGTGTCCTGGGGGGGAGCTCTCTCTTCCTGCTTTAAAGGGCTCAGGTCCTTTGCAGCTGTGGAGAGTCAATCTAAATCTTTCAGAGGCTCTTGTGGGGGGTTCACTGAAAGCAAAACTGTATAGGTCTCTTGACAGAGGTCAATAAGCTGACCACTAAGAAGAAATGGAGAGGCTAGCAAAGAAGTGGGTGAGGCAGAGGAACACGCTTCCAAAGTATCCAAGGCTCAGTTGTGGGTCAATCTGGGATCAGCAATGAGGGATCTGGTAAGACAACAGTGAGTGGCTGCAAACATCCTGCTATCAGCAATCTGAGGGAGGAAGAACCTCCTCCCACACTGGATAGCTCACTTGTTGGCTCCTCTGTTCTTAAGATGCAATCATCTCTCAGCTGTGGTGAGGGACCTATGAGAATAAGACCGAAGGAGGTCTCTTGAGGGGGTGAGTAGGCTGACCATCACTAGAAAGGCTTTTGTCAAGGAAGCAGAGGGCTCTGCTGCAGGTCAATCTGTGACGTGGTGAAGGCTCAGTTGTCCATCAGTGAATGGCAGGGCAACTAGGTTACCCTGCTGCCAGTAAGAGAAGAGGGCATTTTGCTGATGCCCAGCTTGGTTTGGAATAGATTAAAGATCTTTGACTCTGCATGGGTAGAGATGATAGATAATAAACTAGAGGGCTTTGGCTCTAGCTGAAGTCAAGACTCCTTAGAGGGACCAAGCAACATTCAGGATGCACAATGGGCCCAATATCAGTCTGAGTACTTATGACAACTAAAAACTGCCTTGCCCCCCCCCACATCAATACAATTACCATTTTTACGTGTAGAGTGACAAATGGTACTCATATTCAGTGGAAGTCAAAACTTTTAATACTGTTAGAATGGGAAACTTATGTTGTATAAAGCACATTCGTAATTAATGTGGATCTACACAGACATTTTATTTATGTGACAGAATTCTAGTGCTGAGCTTCATATTTCACCTATCACTTCAACTCATGGAAGTACTAAAATTTAAGGCAAAACATGTGCCAAACCTGCCTAACAACATTTTACTTACAAATATCATATAACACCAAGGTTATCAGTTGGATCAACAGAAAACCCTCCTTCAGAATCAAAATATAAGCAGAAAGAATTGTGAACTCTCCTGGAATAAAATAAAAAAAAAAAACATAGAACTACCGTCCTTATTTCTTTTAGTATCTTTCATATTATTAGAACAGCAGTCCAGCAGTGTTGCTCATCACAGCCACACCTGAACATATGTTTCTTACTAAATTATATGTTCTTCATATTCTTACAATGCATATTTCAAATAGCTGTCCCTTAATTGCATTATGTACCGTTTCTAGTAAAATAATACATGAATTTTTGTTATTTACAATTAGGTAGTAACAAATCAATGCTATTCTACTAAATCTCTTAAATTCATGCCCTTACCAATTATGTTTTATGATCAACCACAAAGCATAAAAGGCAAAGTGAAGTGTCTCCATTAATAACCTGTACTGTCCATGTCAATCCAACCGCACTCCAGCACATAAAGCCAGTCCAGAGGCTCAACAAACTGGTGAAATGCATTACGTAAACAAAGTGGTAATGACCCTGCACTTTTTATGGGAACAAACCCTCTTTACTGATCACCTGTAACACAATTTTGCATCATTACATAGTTCATAATTTTCTCTGTACTGCAGACCCATTAAGAAGTTCTGGAAAAATTTATTTATTATTTACTCCAGCAGTGTGAAGAGATAAGAGGTACATGCAAACTGTACTGTCTTTTAATATATACATTAGTACAAGCAGGGCATGTTTAAACTTTCTGTTGCAACTCAAACTGGCTAATGTTAAAAAACAGATGTGCATTACATATTGTGTAAAAGTCTGGAAAACAACTTAAGAGATACATGTAATACTGCAAACAGTGTTATAATGCAGTATAGAGCCATATAACATTCCAATGGTTTCTGAAGTTCAAAAACAGACAAATACCACTCCAGGAAGACATTTGAGGTTGGCCATCCATCAATATCCAAGAATGATGCAAAAATCATGTTCATACAAGATTATGTTCATGCTAACCATCAGTTTACAATTAATGTATGAGTTTACTAACATTGTCAGCATATAATACAGCTTATGCTACATAGCCTCAGTGACAATGTGAATATGCAACAGGAACTGTCAAAATCTTTGATTTACACATATGATTTTAAAACAAAATTACAATTGCCCCACATTACTGCATCCAAAAGAAGAGTGACAGGTGCACTAAAATATCAAGGTCTTGATTTTAACACGCTTGTCAATGATTGTGAAGGCTTATTAATTATTAGTACCTTCTGGAACATTAATCTGTGAATGTCCTTCTACTGAGGAGTTCTGGGGTACATGTTTCAGCTATGAAAAACAGCTGAGAAACAGAGGGAAAAGGCACCCAGCTTAAAACATAATATTCCTTAAGTATATCCTCCCTAGCTCCCTTTTACCTAAAGAGAAAGGTGAACTTGAAGATTTGAGAATAAAGTTAACCACTGAAAACATGAACAAACTGACAGCTACTGTGAAGAATAGTCCCAGGCATGCAAGGGGCAGGAATGATGGAACTGGGCTATTCTGATACAAAGAGACTACTATGAATGGAATACATCTCAATATTGTGTTAAATACTTAGATTGTGTTATTGGATCAGCTTTTGAACTCTTTGATTAGCCCGTATATATTATCTTCCCATGACATATATCCTAGTTCAGATTTTGGCTATCTGGAAGAGAAGCAGCCAGACTTTTCACGAAAACAATAAACTTCGAAGACAAGATCAGAGATGCAAATAGTATAGTCATGTAGGTTCAATACGCAGAGAGCAAACATTACAGGTGAATTAGCAATGAATGCATTCATTTCCATTTTTAAGGACTGTAAAAATCCGGACTGTATGTTCTGAGTTCAAAGTAGTGGGGCACTGACCATCACTTCCTTCAGTGAAATGTGAGTATATTATCAGGAGACACTTATAGGGATTATTGGACTTGAAATTAATAGCCAACAGTATTTCAGCATTTTAGGAAGTCTGAATTTTGTCCAGAGTGGGGACAGACATATTAGAGGTTATAAAATGATCTTGGCATGGACTGCATCCATTAAATTTTATAAAAGAATTAGGAACAAAGGAATTTAACTAGATTATAATTCTGCTAATTCAAGTCTAAAAGAAGGGTTAAACTAATTGGTATAATACTTTACTGCTTTCAAGAAGTATGAGAACCGGAATAAACTTAATGCATTCATGACCCTGCAGATATCAGTGGGAATCCACCATCCATGCCAAGAACTAATTTACGTGTAAAACTTATGTAACTTAAAATGGGAACATTTTCTATATCCAACACAGCTATTTCTTCACTCTCAGTCATACTTTGTGCATCTCCTGTTTAAATTTTTACTTTCTTGCAGCAGAGCACCTTGGAAATTCATTATGTTACCATCTTATAAACCTAGATCACATGCTGTGTATGTTTTTCTTTTACATCAAAAATAAAGTTCCACTTGCTTCCAGATAAAGGTCGGTGGCTCAACTGTCCTTCTGACTAAAAATTTCAGTGCATTCTACAGCCATGTTCTGAATAAACTGACAATTAAATGAACTTATACAAATATCAAGCGATGTGGTTGGTAATGGTAACATGCCTGACGGTACCCACATCTTGCAGTGTGTTTGCGAACATATGTGATAATGACAGAAACAATTATAATAGAAATATAGCAAATTACAGTACAGAAACCTTAATGGAAATACATTCAACATATACAATGCATGTAGCCTTCTGTCACCTGTTCAGAATTGAAATTCACATATGATCTCACACTATACAAATTAGGACATCCAGGCATGTACCATTTCATTTCTTCTGTCACACAAATGTTGAATGAAAATTGTAATTTTGTTATAAAATGACAAAATATTAAATTATCCACTGTTTTATTAACAACTGACAAGTGTTGCTCAAGTATAGTTACATGATCATTAACCCTTTCAATGTTATAATCTGACAGAACTAGCTGTCTACAAGAAACTTGGAGAAAGAGGTAAGGCTACAGTGCAAAGATAAGTTCTCTGTGATTATATTATTATGTAACAGCACTTTTATGCATTCCTAGAACAGATATTAAAAAGTAACATAGCCAAAAATATGTACTTACATTGACAATGAAAGGGCAAGACTGTTAAAATATGTTGAATATGGACGTCATATTATCTGAACGCAAATAAACTTACTAATCACAGAAATACCGATATTTTACATACACCACAGCTCTATGAATGTTCACACACTTCCTCCCTTGAACACAACTGGCAAAATAGTCCATAGTATATAAATATATAAATCACAACAAAAAAACATTCTAATGTTTGGATATAGTTACACCAGTTTTTAATTTTCAGATTACTAAAATCAAATTCAATGTAACAGGGTACAAAATATTACAGCTATCATGTGTTCAACCACACAAAATATTGGACATTCCTGTTTTACAGGATGTAAAGCCTGGAAAAACTATAATACACAGTCACTGGTTATTTCAATGACTGGAAGTTACAACCAATTATCACCGGGGTAAAACACAGTATTTCAAGAGACTCAACAGTAGACATGATAGCTTATATTGCATTTTACTCTCTGATCTTTAAAGCTCATCTTATGAACTTTCTGTGCATAAAATTCTTTTCTCAAAACTGCCAGATCACATCCTACATCTCCATGTTTTGGAACCATTTTCATAGTGAGACTCCTCCTCTTAAATAATGAGCAAATTTCTTTTCAGTACAGAACTCCCAATGCAATTGGAGACAAAATTATCTGTGATAGAACAAAAACCACTCAGCATCTTTAGAAATGAAGAAAGAAGTTTTCTTCCTTTAAATGCGAGTACTTCCTTACACAAGCATATTTTCAAAGTCTGTTTTAGTGGTTGATTTGAAATTACTTTGTGATGGCCTAATAATTACTCTCATATTGGAGTATCATGAAAGACAGCCAGCCACTTGTTCAAAGTTAACCACAGAAATGGGGTAACATAAAGAGCTCTGAAAGCTCAGCCAGTGAAGTTATGGTCTACAAACTGGATGACCAAGGTCCAATTTGCAGTAGGATGTTGAGACTTTTCTTTTATCACAACATCCATAACTGTTCAGGACCCATGCCAGAATTAAATCCTGTGGTTTAATCAGCCACAGCATGAAACTGACCAATCACCTCCATGCAGTGCAAATGTTGAAAATATTGAACTTACTTCCATAGCCACATTCAACTTAATGGCAGTGCTTAGGCATAGCAGCAGCTGCAGTTTCAATCTTACATTATGAACACACATGTACATTACACACAGGCAGGAAAGAAGGAGGTAGGTGGGCAGAGGAAATAAAGGCGAAAGAGGGAAACATAAAATGAAGGAACACATGATTCCTTCTCCGTCCGCAATTAGCCTGAAAATGACAGAAATTTTATACATGTAAAAGCAGGTCAATTTCTAGATCCAGATACGAAACAAAATATTTCAGTTAGGACATACATTCACTCCTTGATGCAATGAAAAAACATAGAAGTTTCTTTACATTACAGTCAATTCATCTTCATTAACAGAAGTAACCATATGTTAACAACTCGAGAAATAATTCTTAATAGTACTGTGACAGATCAGCAACATGGTGCTTATGCTACTGAACTTGATAAAAGCTTAGTCTGCCATCACTTAAGACCCTGTTACACTGACATGACTACTGCGCACTTACAGCATAATTCATATGCACAATTCTTATAGCAGCACAGTTCCTTGTTAAGGAAAAATTTAAAAGATCCAGAATATTAAAGAAAATTAAAATAATAAATCTCCTTAAGATCCTATCAGAGTTATTACAAATTAAGCACAAACTATAAAAAAGCATTTTGAAACAACTAATTGTACTACAAACTTACACTAGTAACTAAAAAATTCTGTATTTTAATTTGAGACGTACTTCAGCTGTAAGACACAATAAAAGCTGCTTCTAAAGTGACATAGAGTTCCAGGAAAACGCAGTTACATTACAGATTAAATCTAAGATCCATCTTTTGAACCAAGCTTGATGACCTAAAACATCAAATTTGTAAAGAACCTTAAAATTTTTGCAACAAGATCCTGTATCACATGGATGTTGTTGAAATTATTCACAGACCTCACTGCTGAATCTGGAAACATAAAGAGTTATTGTATCAAACGATACAAATTCTGCAGGACCTTACCTTAAAAATATTTAGAAGTGTAAACTTAATTTATAACAACTCTCACATAGGATTTAAGGTTTTGATGGATGTACTGATTTAGAGGGCAGTCTTCTGGGTTGTGACATGTAACTGAGTAGGGGGTTACTGCTTACTAGCCTGCATGGTGGCACACAACCCAGAAGACCAGAATCAAAATCCATAACAACCCTGTCCTTGCATTTCTTACGCTGTAATCCTTGCTCAACATTTTAATTACTACACGCAAATGAAAGATTTTCATTAATGCTGAATGTTGAAATTATTTTACGGTAGATAAGAGAAAACTCCTCAAATTCTTGCAAGACAATGTACACATTTGCCATGCTTCATTTAGTGATAAGGAGTGAAAAGTAGAGAGAGTGGCCCTGTAAGATCTTAATGTCAAAACACAAAGTCCTAAGTCCACCTACACATTCAAATGGTATGATCCTTTAACCCTGACATACCACAACTTGACCAAGAAGACAGGGAGTCAACAAAGAAATTTAACCACAAGCCGTCATTATATACACAACATCTGATAGGAAAACAAAAATGTATCAAATGGTTTCAGAACAAATCCTTCTTAGATACCTCAACATCTACTCTTACACTTAACTGTCTTACAAAATGCTCATTACCCCCACCCCCCAAAAAAACCCTTTGTGAAAAATGAATACCAGATTCATAATTATAATTATTACTATTTAGAATATACAATAGCTTTTTAAACAATGAAGTTTTCAATAAATATTTCAGAGCATAAAATATTCAAAGAAATTAAAATTCATGTCACCATGCCTTCAGTTACCACCAACTTGTAGGTACAAATTTTACTGAAACTAACCTATAAAGACTTGTACCAGAAACCAACTTTCTATACAGCTTAGAGTAAGATACAGAAAAATAAATTGGAAAACTACAACTAGTAGATTTTGCTGAGCAAATAAACAATTTGGCAATAACCAAATTAGCTCATTCTCAGTTTTCCTCCTATACCACTGTTGGGTTTTACAATATAACCTGAGACCCATGAACATCAACCCAACAACTATATCACACTAATTTTAGTTAAGATTCTGGGTGGAGAGTGGGTAGTGGATTTCCAACACAGGCTTCCTAGCCTGAGCAAATTTGCATTGCCTACTTATTTGTTTGCTCATGCAGACTTAACCCCCGCTGTGGAGGTGGCAGTGGATGGGATGTCAATTGTGTGTGTCTCATTCCCAAATATCAGTCTCAAACGCTTCATCGGCGGCCGTCCTGCAGATGAATATAAGCTTCCAGGTTCTTCCGGAAGAGTTCGTCTCCGATGACGCTTTTCCCTGTCCTTTGATTTGTGACGTTTTTTATGGTGTTTGTTTTCTAGATGATTCTCATTGCCTACACCTTCCACCCGAAGAACTTCGTACTCCGGCTCAAAGCTGTCCTCACTAAAACTATTCCCTGACTCTATAACTTCATCCAGGACAGGGCTGCGTTTCATACGAAGTGTCAGTTTCAACCGGCCCCCACCCTCATTCCCCTTAGTGGGTGTAGTATCAATCTGTGATGGATAAAACACACCCCTGTCTCTGTCTCCACAGTTCTCTGTAGATTCAATAGTATCATCTTTACACATATTTTCTGCGGTATTCCAACTTCCATTTAGGCTAGTCTTAGTGGCTGATGTGAAACCAATCCTTGAACGTCTGAGTAACCGTGGCTCTTCCACCTCACAGTCTTCCTTATCATCAAATTCATACACATCTTTGGTCCTTTCACTAATCATAGTGGGGGCAGTGTCTCCTACCTTCCCATCTTCCAGTCTTGACATCACCCCACTCACACTCCTGTCCCCCACCACACGTGAACGCTTCAAGAATCCACTAATTGTAGAAGATGAACGTCTAGATGTTGTCACACGTCTTAAGTGATGGTCCCAACACTTTTCTAATTTCCCATTCACCATTTTCCTAATGAACTGTCCGTTACTGTTCCTTTCTGGGATTTGCTTGTCCTGTTTTGCTGCTAACAATTCCAATTTAGAGTTTAAATTCTGGCAATGGTCCTTACATTGGTCTTCAAGAATTTCAAACACCATTGCTGTCTTGCCATTCTCTTTTGTGGATCCTTGTTCCACCTCTTCTAGCTTCTCTTGAGACCTACGTGAGATCTCATCATCCTTCAGTTCAAGCAACTGTCCAATGCAGTTATTCCTACTGGTATTAGAGTTGTTTACTTTTTCCTTCATTACAACCAGTGACTCAATGACCGGTTCATTAAGTCGCTTATGATTGCGCAGCATTATCCCTTGCGTGAGTACAGAACTAGCACTGCTGTGGTCACTTTCACTGCACAGATCCTCCTTCTGCTCACTACCCACACTACTAGCATTGCTTTGCATGTCATCCAGCAGAATGGTCGATCCACGATTCATCAAGCTTGATAGGGAAATATCATCATCTTCTTCCTCAATTACCTGCTCTGACTTCTCTCTCTTGCCTGGCAGTCTCCGTGGAAGCCTTCCAGACTTATTACTAACACTATTTCGTCTGGGTTTGCTGTTTGTGCAATTGTTCCTAGATATTTCACTTCGTACACCACGACATAGTCTCTCACGTCCTAGCCTCTCCCCATTCCTAACAGATGAATTATCACGACCACTGTACATCTTCTCTGCTGTTGCCTTTCTTGTCCCATGATCGTCATCAATATCCGAGAACTTACACCCTTGTGCAATCAGGAGTTCTGCGTCATATTTTGTGAGTCCCTTTTGCCTCAGCTCTTTCATGCTCAGAGGAGCCACAATGTTATTAATATCACTACCTGCAGAAGACGACCTGCTGCCAGGATTATTTTCTGAAAGAGACTTGTAGTCAGACTTTAAGCTTGATGGCTGTCTGTGTTTTGAGCGGTTCAAGCGGTTGTCTGTTTCTCTCAACCTGTAGCCTGAGTTTAACTCATCATTCTTTGACTTCCCCTTGCCAAATGCACCAGTGCTTCTCCTGAAATGAATATGAAAGCAAGAGAAAATGAGTTAGCAGTATTAAAGGATATTATGCCTTCCTTGCAAAATGAATAAAAGCATTATGGGGAGTTTCCACCTCCTGAACTAATCTCCTGATTTTGATTAACTTTTATACTGGGGGTCAACATTAACAGCTGTCAGGCAAATTTAATTCAAGTGTATTCTAGTTATTGACCGCCTCTGTGGTCTAGTTGTCAGACTTCCTGGCTACAGATCCAGAGGTCTGGGTTCCATTCCTGGCACTACCAGATTTTTTTCTGAGAAGTAGTGGGTCTGGAACATGGTCCACTCAGCCTCATGAGGATAATTGAGGAGTTATTTCAAGGAAATAGCAGCTCTGGCCTAGAAAACTGAAATTAACGGCTGTTGAAATTTGTTATGCTGACCATGTGACACCTTCTACCCGCTAAAGCTGTCACTAACTTCGCCGACAAGCGGCGGTCTCTCAGTCGGTATAGTTAGCTTGTGGACTAAAACAACTAAGTTTGTTTTTTGTTTCTTTTGTTTGTATGCTAGTTATTATACCTCTTATGCTGCACAAAGCGAAAACAGAATTCATATAATTTCTCACAAATATAGTATAATAGCAATAATTAATACATACCAGAATAAAGATCTCATTGAGGCCTCCTCCAACGTCTATTAGAATTTTACAATGAGCAGAAGACACAACAAAGAGTATAAGAACTAATTTTTGACTGTTCAATGCAATATTTGTAGTAGGATTATATTTAGAACAGTTCTGTATCTTCAACAAAAGAATGAGGACAAAGAGGTATGTGAAATATTAACTGTATCTGGAAAATATATGAATCTTAAGAGTATATCTTTCCACAAATATTTTATTTTAAAGTTAATATATTCAATACAGGACACTCAGAATGCAAAGGACTCTAGAAAAGAAGGGTTACTGCAATATGAAGTCAGTGGCTGCATACTTACCTTTCGCATGTTTCACATTCACAGTAACCATTTCCATCACCAAAGAAATCTTCTCCATAGAAGCAGGTGATCTCTTCTCCAACCTCAATGTCTCTTAACACCTTTACGCATGCAGTGTCTCGCCCAGTTGCCACAAACTGAAGCACAAGGTACCAACAAATCATGACTTTCCACAATTAGATGTTACTACATGCAACAATCAGGGTCTGATTCCTGTGAGCTGCAAAGCTCTTTTCTTCATCTGAATGTCTATGACTTAGTCCCCTTGGGCATCAAGGATTCTTCTCCAGAGTGTGAAACCGACCATTCACATCCACCTAGAGCCACAGTATGGAATACTAATGAAGCTATACCTGCATCCCCCCACCCCAACTAATGTTGGTGTGGTGCTTAATTACACTTGAAGACAAATTTACATTCTTACTTTCAATGAATTCTTTACTTCAGATCCGTAACATCAGATATCCCATGTGATCATACCATCTCTTCAGCTTATCAAGAGTCAGTAACAATTATGTATCCAAGTATCATATAAGAACTACCACCTGCCAAGAGAAAACAGTGCTTGGTTCTTTCAGCCATGATTTCATTTCTGTTCCCATACTATTATCAAATTTAAACCTCTGGCCCCCAGATGTTGTTTCATCTCTTTCCAGTATGAGATGACATCTGGGAGGCCAAAACTGATGACAATGTGGAAACAACATTGAAGCAACAACTGAAAGAATAGACTACACATGAATGATGCATATATTGACATCTATAACCAAATATTTGAAACATTACAAGAATTAAACACCTGACAGCAGCACAAAACAGAACCAATCCAGCTTAGCAAACATTCATAACAGCTACACATGACACAATAGGAGGAACTACCCATCACCATAGGGTAAGTAAAGATACAAGTATACCATAACATACACAAGTTTCAGACACACGGGCACACAGACAATGACAAACTGAACTTACAGATAGCACCACAGCAGTTTCATCAGCAATTTTAGAGACACCTGAAGATGACCAATGTTGGTCAAAATATGTAGCATGCATACACACCAGTGAAGCACAAGAGATTTTATTGTTTAAAACTTTTAAAGGTTTTACAAAAGCAAGTTGCATGCAAGATGGATAATAACTAATAGAAATAAAGAAAGAACAAATATTGACTTCTACAGGCATAGGACAGAAAGTCTCATCCCATGGCATGATCACTGTCTCATAACCTCGACAATTGTATACAAAACCAGTTTACCAATGATACTGTTCACATTAAATACTAGGTGGTTCAAATATGACCGGGACTGATTTTTTTTGTAAACAAGCCGCATTGCGCAACAGCTGTGCCACCTTGAGAGAGTGAAGCCACAACCTCCACCCTCCCTCCTGTTAGGGTTAGAACCTGTTCAGTCCTGTCTGGAAGTTGCTAGAGTGACGAGCGAACAGAAGGTACCGCGGAGCATGGAACAACGCACTGTGATCAAATTCCTCGTTNTCAATGAATTCTTTACTTCAGATCCGTAACATCAGATATCCCATGTGATCATACCATCTCTTCAGCTTATCAAGAGTCAGTAACAATTATGTATCCAAGTATCATATAAGAACTACCACCTGCCAAGAGAAAACAGTGCTTGGTTCTTTCAGCCATGATTTCATTTCTGTTCCCATACTATTATCAAATTTAAACCTCTGGCCCCCAGATGTTGTTTCATCTCTTTCCAGTATGAGATGACATCTGGGAGGCCAAAACTGATGACAATGTGGAAACAACATTGAAGCAACAACTGAAAGAATAGACTACACATGAATGATGCATATATTGACATCTATAACCAAATATTTGAAACATTACAAGAATTAAACACCTGACAGCAGCACAAAACAGAACCAATCCAGCTTAGCAAACATTCATAACAGCTACACATGACACAATAGGAGGAACTACCCATCACCATAGGGTAAGTAAAGATACAAGTATACCATAACATACACAAGTTTCAGACACACGGGCACACAGACAATGACAAACTGAACTTACAGATAGCACCACAGCAGTTTCATCAGCAATTTTAGAGACACCTGAAGATGACCAATGTTGGTCAAAATATGTAGCATGCATACACACCAGTGAAGCACAAGAGATTTTATTGTTTAAAACTTTTAAAGGTTTTACAAAAGCAAGTTGCATGCAAGATGGATAATAACTAATAGAAATAAAGAAAGAACAAATACTGACTTCTACAGGCATAGGACAGAAAGTCTCATCCCATGGTAGGATCACTGTCTCATAACCTCGACAATTGTATACAAAACCAGTTTACCAATGATACTGTTCACATGACACAACTTCATAGATGCTATGTAATGGCCAAGTACATACCATATTTATGTACACAATGTATCCACTGGTATTTTGACAAGAAATACCCAACTGTTAACCCCACATATTTAGTCAAAAATTTTTTATTAAATACAAATTTTAGTAATTAATCATCTAATTTGCATTTTTACATATTGCTTGCCCCCTCAATGTACTTGTATAAGCTATCAGTACAGATACATGTTGAGGCTTCTAAAGAAATGCAAGTGATTTACTTGCTCAACTCATGAAATTCAGACATAGCAAACAGCTGATGATTGTGGGCAGGCAGGTGGGTATGGACGATTAGGACAGTAGAAAAAGAATCACACACTACAGAGAAGTCACAATCACAGGTATTCATACACTTTCTGCTCTTAGTAATTGCACTGAAGATTTTAAACAGTGAAACAGATTTACAGACAAGTTTTAATGAAAGCAATAAGACTGTCAAAGTGTTTAAAACCATTTAATCTAATGAAGAAGTAAAATCTGCTGTGACACTACATTTGAAACCACACCAATGCATTAATAAAAGTGCAGGAACATACGGTTTATAGATACATCAAACGATTAAGAGAAGTTTCCATCAACACAGTTAATGAACCACAGCTCTTAAGTTAATAAAGCATAATACTTCTTCTTATACATAAAAAAAAGCGACAGACTTGGGCTTAAGCATATTCAATTGTTTCCTGAACAGCCCTAAGAAGTATCTCTGGAGAGATTTATTGGCTGAAAAATTTTAAACAAGATTTAAGCAACTACTTTCTTTTATGTAGCTTATGAGATTTTTATGCCTCCACAGTTCAAGCTGCCGCTAAAACTCCACAGCAGCACAAATGACCATATATTCGTCAACATATGTTTCATGAATCATAAACAGTTTGAGGAAACAAAACTGCACCAGTAATGGAAAACATCACTGTCCCAGGCCAATCTAAAAATCCACACAAACTTTCTCTCTGACTAGGGACAGAACCTATCATTGGATGGTGCCACCGTACTTTCATCTTTTTATTATTTTGCTCCTCCACGTAACTTGTGTACTGAGGAATTGATTCCAGTTCAATAAATGCAGGAGATACTTCCAGGAAACTGAAAAGCAGATGGACTGGGAGAATCTGTCATAAAAATCTCTAATTACCAGCAGGATTTCCCCATCAAGTATACTGTAACATGTAGACCATCTCTAGGCAATGCCCAAAATCATGCATACAACAATAGCCCTAGTGTCACATGAGGGGTTTTCTATGTGGTTAACATATATTCATTGTTGGGTAACAGGCCAATAAACACTCATTCTTGACAACAGAAGAAAGTGTTTTCTGTGGGGTCCATGCCAAGGAGTTAGCTTGAAGAAAATCAACACCACAGTCAGTCAGTTGAGGTAAGGGTTCAGGCTTGGAGTGTTAACCAGCAGATGAAAGAATCTCCACTACTAAGATTCGTTACCAAAAAAGTCTAGTGAAGACACTGCAGAGGAACAGCCATTGTGGAGAGCTGTTACTAAGTAAAGACTTGTGAAAATAAACTGAGAAGACTTAAGTGTTGAGTGATCTGTAGTGTTGAAATCAGCAATAGTGTAATAATTATTTGTAGTTATGACATGTAAGTGGTCAATAAAACTGTTCACCAATCCAAATCCTGTTTACAGTAACCAATACATATGACAATATTACATGTTAGATGCCTTACTAAAAATAGGATAAAAAGGTCATATTTCAAATTAAAAGAATAAGTATCAATCTGAAACTTTGTCCAACAATGAGAAATATATTACATACCAAAGTTAAAAATTATACAGAAAAGAATGGAAATCATGCTTTTTCCTCATACAGCTCATCTTTATCTCGATATTATGCAACCACAATATAACATGCAAAATTCTAAGTGTAATATTTTACACAATACAACTTCCAGATTATGTATATGGTAAAAATATCCATAATTTATGCAAGTAAAATGGTATATGGATTAACACAGTGAGATACACACAGTCTGAATATGTGCTTGAGATTACAATAGAACAGATTAAGACCACAATTTCAAAACCTGTACCACCAGAATAGTGCTACCTTGCAATTGGCCCTGCAGTCATGGTTTATGAAAGCTGCTGGACCTAGCCATAACTGTGCACAGTTCTTCCGACAGCTGTACATCACAGAGAAGTCGTTTTTCCCAGGATGCAAAAGCATGGCCTCTTCCTCCTCACTAAGCTCTGCGATGCAACCCACCAGACATGATATCTTCTCGTTCTTATACCTATACAGCAAAAAGAAGCCATACAAACTATATTGTCAAAAAACATGGAAGCAGAATTCCAGTAATTCCCAGAACTCTGCATTAGATGGAGGACAGTGACTGTCTATAGGTTCAGACCATAATTTAAGATTTATAAACACCATCCACATAAACTTTACCCACAGAGAGGACGCCACTTTCCATTTCAAAATTCACTCTCAAAACACATGACGAAATTTAAATTTTCTTCAGAACGTTATACATTTATGACTTACATCCTTCTATTCTGTACTACAACACATAAGAACACCACAGTTTCTTCTGTTTTCCAATGAAGGAAGTAAATGATACTGATCCATTCCAACCGAGTTCATGGTTATGCTGTCTGCAACAGACACAGCATTACTTCATACTATTTACACTGGACAATACAAGAATACAGCAGACACAATGGCCTCACTACGTGGGCACATTCCATTATACCACAACAAATACTGTATTGTAAAAGTGAACATTTCTACACCCAAAAACAAAATGCACAACACAAAAACAAATGACACAAATGAGTTCTACAATGAGAAGAAACAGGCCTAATTTTATCTTCTAAGGTTCACTGCACGGTATGTAAATGCCACAATTTTAAAATACACTGTTCCAATTATTTCACATGAACATTTGATTTTAAAGCAAATAATCTTATAATAACCCTAAAGTGTACAAAATGAATAAAAATATACACCATCTGATTAGCATCTTCTTCTGTCACCTGCAAAATCCTGAGTGTCTGTCACAATTTATTGTGTTCCTGCATACTTACACCCTTATTCTTTGCTGCTGGATCAGCTTCACTGATGGTCATATCACTTTCTGCCAGCCATCAATAATTCATGTCAGCCTTACACAGGTATCAAAGGGTCATTCACGGACTGTGGCTACAAAATTGGAGCAAGGTTCCCATGAATGATATCATGGTCAGTTCTAGACTAGCACAGATCCTTCTTCAAAATTCAAACAAGATGATTCTTGAAATGGTTCAACATCAGCTGTGCTCCCAGTCATATGTCCCACACAATGTGAATCCAGTCTTGCATCAGGGCATTATCCATCCAATCATCTTCCTGCACACAAATGCAGATGCCAGCAGGCAATTTGATGAACTCTGGTACTGTTCTCCATTTGAACATTATAAGCAGCAGGAGGTTCCAGCCATCAGCAATGATTACAGTGCAGTTTCTCCTTTCCTCCCATCTTGACCAAAAATGTTTCACAACCTTATTTTATCAGTGGTACAGTTCTGTGCTAAGTTCAGAATATTAACATATGGCCCCATTCCGTAACTCAGAAAATATGCATTATTTTGCAGTAGGCATATTACATGCATCAGAAATCTACAAACTTTTTCAGAACAGAGTGAAACCCTCATTTAAGGTTTCTTCTGAGAACAGTGGCTTTGTACACTAAACTAGGAGAACCTTAAATGGTGGGAATTTAACACTGAGACTAAAAGGTAAAAGTAAAGTTGTCCCTGTGCTTAACTAATTAAGCGCTATGCCATGAAGGTGTATGGGGGACTGGATGTATATACCACACATTTTCTTGACCTCAGCACTGGCTGGAAGTGAGTGGTTAGCTCACTCCCCTGCCGCTTTACCCTCAGGGAAATAACCCCCTGGTACCCATTGGGTAGGAGGCTAGGTGAACACCAGCGGCGGTCTAGACGGTGTGGAGTAGGGAAAATTCTTGACCCTACCAGGACTCAAACTCCAACTTCTCAGTTGTCCAGCCCAGAGCTAGATGCTATATCAGCTATGCTATCCAGACTACTGACCATGGAACATTACATGGGGGTTCCAATGCGAACAAGTGGTAGCCTCTGTGACAGCACTTCTCAATGACAAACTGTTCGATTTCATGAAGCGCGCTGACCAGCCACTCCCTCTGAACTTAGTCACTGAAATTAATGCACTGCTTGCAATTTCTGCAGATTTAACTAAAGCACTTCATGGGAAACACTACACCCATGGTTTCTAAACTAACACATACTCTCACGTGAGCCAAGCATTTGTGCGTGTGTGTGTGTGTGTGTGTGTGTGTGTGTGTGTGTGTGTGTGGGGGGGGGGTGTCAAGTCGCTACACTTTAACGCATCTCCTGTACTGTTTGGAAGGTTTGAGACATCTATCAGTGGATGTCAAAGGATGAGACTGCACATAAGCACTCATTAGAAACTCCCTGAAGGGTGATACACCTATAAGAGAAGCTGTTAGGCTCCTGCACAAATCCAATTCGGACCATACCAGATCAGTTCAGTTCAGTATAGAGCAGACTAGTAAGCAGCAAGTGTTCAGCTAGTTCGTGCAATCGGTAAGTAGGTAATTAAGTAAGTCAGCTCTCAGTCCAGTGCTTTGCAGGGAACTGATGAATGCAGTGAGTAATGGCACTGATGTAAAGAAACAAGCAAACAGAACTGGTCTCAAGGATATAAGTGGTTAGAGAGGGTATGACAGTCCATTCTCCATAAACTGATAATTGTCACAATATTTTACCAAGTACTGCTCGTCCTCCCAATATTCTCGACTTGAAATGTTCACTTGAAGTCAGACACTAATTTCCCCAACCTTTCCACAAGATCTTCACTCACACCAAATTTTCTTTCTGGTGCACTATCCCCAGTATCTTCAGCATTTAAGGAACCAGGACAGCTCATATGGTACAGGAATGGGCTATGGGCTGGATGGCTGGGGTCTGATTCATGGCAGGAATAAGAGATTTTTCTCTACCCCACAGCACTCTCAGATCAGAAATAGGACCCACCAAACCTCATATCCAATGGGTACTAGAGTCTTTTTCCCCTGGGGTAGAGCAGGGAAGGCATGAAGTTGACCATTCACCTCCATCTAGCACCAAGGTCAGGAATGGCAAATCTATACCTCTGCTTCCCAATACACCTTCATGGTGTGGTGCCATACATTACACTGATTAACCAAGAGAATGATCTCAAGCAGAATGATTTGTCAAAAACACAATACTTTGATTTATGAGAAATTAAAAGGAATACATTTCTGTCATCAGTCTCCAATACAACCTACATGCATGTTTATAAGGTTAACTGAGTGAGTAATCAAACACCTAGCTTCTCGGTTACTAGCAGTTGGCTAGTTAAACCAGCAGCTAGTCATAACCAACCATCAAACTAAACAACTCCAACCACTGGTACAGGGACTTCCTTGGAGACTTAATAATAATCGACTGGTCAAAGAAGTGTCACTGTTATGGAACCCAAAGGTTCATCACCATCATCACAAAAGCCTAACACCAATCCTCATCCTGAGGGAATTCAGACCAGTTCATAACCCATTTTCCTCATGATTCACTTCAATACAATCTTGTAGTTCAATTCACTAGCACCAATTTGTATGAATACACTAAAACAAGTTCATCCAACATAATGTTGTCATAATTGCTGCTTACAACGTACTCTGATGCTGCCCATAGCAAGCTATTTATACGCAAAAAATTTCTATTGTAAGGGGAAAAAATGCTGTAACAGCTAATACAATTTATACACATGAACATGCAACTCCAACTACAAAAATACTGAAAAGATACAGGTCAACATTAACAAATATGTGCTCAAATGTCCATATGAAGACAACGTACTAAGTACAGTCACGTTTCATATTAGATGTTAATATTTTACTCCAGTAAAGTACACGGCAGTATAATATTAGATACTGAAATATTATCAAGGAATTTCCCAATCTCAATCTTCATCACAGAATCGTGTGGTGGAATCCTTAGGTGCAAATATACACACTATGCTCCCACATGACATTCAAATTCAATTGTACCTTACACACAAAAGATATGCGAGTCAGCATTTTATCTATGGGAATCTTCATCTCAGCATTCATCAAGGAAACACATGTGCAGTCCATTGGTGCAAATATCTAGACCATGCTGCCACATTTTGTTCAACTTTTGTAATGTTTTCCATGAAATTATAAAAGATAAAACAACTCTGTCCAGTGTGACTGTTGAAAATTACACATCAACTGAATATTACCAAGGGGAATTCTCATCTCAATCTCCCATCAAGGAATCACATGGCGGAGTATGAAGGCATGAACATAAACATGTTGCCGCATCAAATTCAATACCCATCACATTTTCCTCAAAAGATATGCATCTCCTGATATTTTATCAGAAGAGAATTTTCACTCAGTGTTCACCAAGGAACTCCATGGTGAAGTCCACACGCATAAATATCTGTACTGTCATGTCATACCTCATCTGAAATGTAACTGCCTAAATCTAGTATGTGAAGCTATATTCTGACAAGTAATATGCACTACAACTTTCAGGCCCACTTTTGAGAGTGTACATTATACAGTTGATACAGCAAGACCTGACATTATATACGTTAATTCGAAGAATGTTCAAGCTCTGCTACAAAGTGGAGCACTCCTGCAGTATGTTTCAGTAAAACCTTAGAATACCGCTATCATAAGCTTCAGCTTCTTCTGCATATAATCATATCATGTTATCTACCACTGTGGAATTCATGCTTTTATTACATGCATCATAAAACATTACAGGCTTTAATCTCACATAAACGGACACTAAATTAACCCTTTAAAGCCTAGTGGTTATTTTATGCACCACCTGCTGTAACAGATCATTTCCCTAATCAACAATAACCCACTGTTCTTGAACTGGAGACATAATATTTTTCATGTGAGATATGAACTAGACATTAATATGGTACTTAGAAGATATTCAGTCTTTAAAGGGTTATCCTTGACATGGCAAACACAATCTTACACAAAATTCCAGTGCCTTGGAGAAAAATAAATGTATGTTCAAATATGATAAAAATACCTGTTTTAATGTCACCATTAAACCTATGCACATCTGCTGGCAAAGAATGTAACAAATCAGAACACTGCTAAAGTGAAAGGGCCAACAGATACAACATTTCTTCCACCTGTCTTTTTGCTGTAGAATTAAGAGAAAATAATAAATTCCTGTTCATTTCAAGCCTTTTATTGTTACTATCAAGTTAATAAATACATGAACAACTTAAACTGAAAAATAAGACACCTTTTGTAACCAATTAATTCTGTATAGGCATGCCCAATTTAGTGAAGAAAATTATTCACTTTCAGAGATAGGTGAAATAGGCAATGATATTTTCCATAATGGAACATTTTAAAAAATCCTGGCATTAATTACATGACCAATTTTTTTTAATAATGGAATTGAAAAAGCACTGACATTAAGTATGTGAAGATATATTGTAAATAGTCATTGTATCATAAAGATATACTCTTATTTCTTCCCAAAAGTTGTGTGTTGTTGTTGAGTCTGAAGAGTTGGGGGATGCACAAGTCTCCATTCAGCTCTGGTGATAGGCGGACATTTTTTAACACCTCAAGCCTCAGTACTGACAGTATGTTTTGTACATGTCACTCTAAAATTACGGGTTTTCAAACAACTATTTTTATTCTATTTTACTCACTTGCTCACTCATGGTGCTGAGCCCTTCTTGAGAAGCTGCCAATTATGCAGCTACTCAAGAACTTCCCAGAATTTTATGAAACCTGAAGGTTCATTACCGTGTTCACAAGAGCCCTCCACTTGTCCTTATCCTGAGCCAGATCAATCCAATCCATACCATTCCATCCTATCTCTCTAAGATCCATTTTAATACTGTCCACCCACCTACATCTTGGTTTTTCCAGTGGTCTCTTTCCTTCTGGCTTTCCCACCAATATCCTATATGCATTCGTCTCTCCCATTCTTGCTACATGCCCTGCCCATCTCATCCTCCTTAACTTGATCATTCTAATTATAATTGGAGAAGAGTAAACTTAAAGCAATACTAAATTCTTATAAAAACAAACATCTAGGCAATTCAGTTGCCGCAAAGAAAAAAAAAGTAGATTGTAAAGCATTCTGACAATGGTGTGTAACACTTGAGATCACTGGGTTTTTGGTCTTCACCCATCATCCAGTATTCTAAAGAACACAAAAGAACACAACATTTCAGAAGCTGGATCTATTTCCATTCTCAGGTGAGGGGGTTGGAGACTCCTACCTAACAGATCTAACAGAGTAGGTGTCTCCCACCCCTCTCCTGAGGATGGAAACAGATCCAGTTCCTGAAAAGTTGTATTCTTTTCTCTTCTTTAGAATAGCGAACATTAGACAGGTACAAAAACCCAGTGATCCTGAAAAAATGAAGTACTACATAGACAGAGCAAGCCTGAAACACGAGTTTACATCAGGAAGTCTGAATTTCAGATGGATTATTCAGCAGACTTGATCAAGGATGAGATGGGAGGGAATGCAGCATACATGGGAGAGAGAACTCAAGAGGAGAGACCACTCATTTGGGAATTTACTGGAAGGATAATATTAAAACAGATCTTAAAGAAACAGTGTGTGAGGGTGTGAGCTAGATCCACCTGACTGACAAGGTGCAACAGCAAACTTGTGAACATGGTGATGAACAGTCAAATTGCAAAACTCACTGAATTTGGCAAGTTAAGCGACTATCACCTTCACAATGACAACTTGCTGCAAAGTGTTAGTTTAGATAGCTACGCACCTTTGAAAACTTGTGTAAGAAATGTGGTGAGGGACGTCAGGCAGTCCATTTAGCCTGCAATGTATGCAAGGAGGTCCTAGCCGTAACTGACGAGACTACTACATACCACACATAATGTAACTCACCATTTCCTGGTAGCAGATATTTTTGCACCTTTCTGTCCCTCAAGAGAATACCGATAACAAGGTTCTATGATGAATCCAGAGTCTCGATCAAACACACGAAGATATCTGTAGATCTGCAACATTGAAACAGCTTAGTCATTCCAACAAGGCAGGAAAGTTGACTTTGAATATTATTTTTTTCTATTACTCAGTACACTGGGGCACGCAGTAGCATAGTTGGTTAAGGCACTATGCTACAAGCCAGAAAGTCGCAGGTTCAAGTCCCAATGAGGTCATTGGATTTTTTTCAATTGACCTAACCATTCCGGCCGCACTATGGCCCTAGGGTTGACTCAGCCTCTAACAGAAATGAGTACCAAGAATTAATTAAATAATTTTCCTGGGGAGTAAAGCGCAGCCAGCACGTAAGGCTGACAACCTTACCGCCATCTCTGAGCCGATGGTCTAGAAAATGTGGGACCCTCTACGTCTCACAACCCTATCGGCCTTCACGGCCTGTTACAGGGATAGCTTTACTTACTTTTACTCAGTACACTGTACAAAACAGCTCAGAGGCCCAGACCAGTCAAAAGCATTTATAAAATTGGAACTGACTTTATCAATGAAACTGTTAGTCCTACTAATTTCACCCTTTAAAACACAGTGCTTATTACATGCACCACCTGCTTTAACAATAAGAACTTTGCAGTTATGGCTTTTGTCTATCAGAACAAACAGTGATTATTATTAACCAGTTGTATTTTGTAATGGAGATGCTGTTTTTTATTTTTTTCTGTAAGACAGGAACTATATGACTTAATTTAATTTTGATGAATTTCAGGCTTCGAAAGGTAGCGTTATTAAGCAAAATTTGCATTCACATAGAGGGAACTGATGATAATAAAGCTAAGACAACTGCACATTTGGTCCATTTCCTCCTCCTTATGGTCTCATGTTAATGATCAGTTTCAGTTATGTTCTAACAGAATCAACAGTAACAGCAACAAACTGCAGATTCTGGAACAATAAAATGCTTTTTGAAAAGAAGATATCTCATGATACCTTGATATAAGATTTTTAAGAATTCTGCAATGAACAAATGTCAACATACATGCTCTCCTAAACGCTGCTGTTGCTGTTTTGTCTTGGTGTGCGGTCCCCGTGGTATCCATTCTCCGCTTATCAGATGACTGTAAGCCTTATCATAATCCTGTGTCACTATGAATTCTTCTATTATAGATTTCAGTTCTTCTTTATTTGTTTTCAATGGCCGATACCTGATCAAACAAAGCAAAAGTCAGTGTCCAAATGGTCGCAATCTCAGGCTGTTAAGTGGACTAAGTAGCTGACCATGTAACACAGCATCTTGAAGAATGAGTAGAACGGCGCTCACAGGTTTAAAAGACAACAGTTTTCTTGCTCGTGAAGTAAATTATGCCTGGTTACAGCTCATAACTCTTCTAAAATTAAATGTCATAACAAACACATCATATGTCCTACAAGTAAATCCAATAAATTGTACAATCTTTATTGTTTGTAACAACAATTGTATGCAAGTAATCATCCACACCACACACTATAAGCACATATTACTCATAACTCAGATTATAATAGTATACACTCATTTATTTTCAGATGACACAAACTTTAACAATGGATCCCAGAAGACATTATCACCCTCTAATATATGACAAGCATCACAGAAACCCACATCATATCGACGAGACACAAATATTAATCTAAATAACTTTAGCCCTAAGGTTAACCGTAATATCAACACACCAAAATGTGTTATGATGAGATACAGAAATCAATGAATTTTAAAAATAACACTAATATGAATCCATATTAGGACAAGTCAATAACAGGTGACATTTAAAAAACTGCCTGGTGATGATCTAAACATGGATCAAAACATGTAGCAGATGCTAAAATAAAACCAGTGTTAGTAATGTGATATTGAATTGGTTTTGTCTGAAAAATCTGTTGTGTTGACAGCCAAAAGAAACACAGGTTGTACAATTCATAATTTCTCTATGTTTAATGTTTATGCTAAGACCCAGTTCCTTTCTGAGACCTTGAACTGCTAAGGAATGTCACACTAATCTGAATCACCACATTTTCCTGGCTTACATCTCACACACCTGTGCCATGACCAGAGTAACTGAACAGAAGGTATGAAGGAGTACAGAAATGCCAGACATAAATACAAGAAGAGTACTTACAGCACAGAGAAATACTGAAAAGGCCTTGTCATATTACATCTCACCTGCATGGTAAGTGAACAGATGTACCATCAAATAGGATAAAACATCAATTACAGAACCACATGGGACAGTTTGGCGATGACCCATTAAAAAAACATTCTACTAACGGGAAGATATTTGGCAACTGCTGGGGCAACACCTTTCTGCTATGAACACTCACTGTGTCGGCAGTCACCTTTCCTATAAGGCTAGCTGTGGCCATACGAGTGAAGCATATCACAATGTGAAGGTCAGTGTTCTTCTCACAATATGTGCTCATATATTTTGCAGAATTATTTGTATTTGGACAAAAATACTGAACCCAAAATTCTCTTCACATTCAGAGAACATCAAACCACAAATTTCACACTATTAAGTGGGACTTTATATAAGACTGGAAATCAAATCAATGAAAATTAAATTCCATGAGGCCTTACTGTTCATTTCATAATTAGTTCCACATTCTAAAGGTTAACATGCACAATCTGGTTCAGTCCAGTGAAAATTCCATCTTTGCTTTTGTTAGGTTAGGTCAGCTTCGAGATTAATATGCAGGACTGGTATTCCCCTCACACAAAACACACAGATCATTCACTTGTCACACAACACTGGTCAACTGTTACTTGCACAATAACAATGACATGGAGTAGCTCTGGTTCACTCCTGCTGGAAAACTCACAGTTTGTAATCTATTCAAGTTGTGATGGTGAAAACATTAAACTTCACATTCACCTTCAAGGTAATGGTGGCCCAAATGTCACAAGGACACCTGGAGGCTTCCAATGATCTCTGTATGTTAAATGTGTAAAATTATAATTTTCCTACTCAGAAGTGTGCAGATGGGGCATCATGTTCCAATCTTGCACCTCCCTAGTGCATGCAGTGTCAAACTTCATTCAGAAGTCACTTTCATGAGACCAACAGTGATGTTAGACTCGTGTAAAGAAGGCAATGTTCCTGCAATTTACGAAATGTTAACGAATATGCTTAGCACTGACGCTACAAACCATATTTACATTTAAATCTGTCAAAAATTCTCTTGCTACCCTCATAAATGGCCAACTAGATTAAATTCTCATCATGTACCTACCTAACATTCATTTTATGAGTGACAAATCCTAAATGTGGATCAAGTACCAGTGACGTAGCCAAGTCGTCATTTTCCGACAGTTCCTTAGGTGTCATTCCTGTCGGCTGCATTTTGTGAAACGAATGACGGGGTGCAGAATCCACCACCATCCTGAATCACTGCATGGCAAAAAATAAACTAAATATTAAAAGTTTAATATAATTCTTACTGACTCTTACACACACACACACACATGCCTACTTTGCTATCACCCTATTATAAAAGGTATTTTTCAACACACAACCAATACCTATCATTTACTGACGCTTTCCCTTGAAGGTATGGATACAAAATCGAAATTTTATGAATAAAGTTCATTGTAGTTGAATGGCCCATTGTGGCCTATTTATTTCTAACAAAGGGGAGATAGTTTTATATAGTGACATTCAGAGCTTCATATAAAATATAACGTCCTCTCATGGTTTTGGGTCTTTCCTCGACGTTCATAAATCATCGTAGAAGTATCCTCAATTTAACTTCTTAGAACATGCTATGCCAATTCTGTAAGCAAGATCTTTCCTTCCTTTTTCCCCCTACGACTGACTGTTCGGTTCCAACAATTCTACCTCACCCCCCTCAGGACACTCCCACATGACAAAAGCAACTTCACGGAATTAAATGCCTTATTTTAACATGTTTTGGCCCATTGACTGTAAATACACAACTTTCACTCTTGCTTCATTCCTGTTCTTCCATCGAACAAAGTAAAGATGTCAATGTGTGGGGAAAAAAGATCGCAGAGTTCAATGGCTACATGGTTCCAACATCAACCTACCAACAAGACCTACACGATATACCATCCGTCTCCGACCTTTGTCTTACCTAATATGTACTGCAGATGATTCTCTGAAATTTACACTACAATCAGCTCTCCATACAGTCGCTGTAAAAGTTATACATCTCACTCATTATAAGAAAATCTTTATTCCATTTCTCTTCCTCAAAGACGCCTGAAATCAATCATGGCAGCCGACCGCAAGACGCAATAATGAGGTATCAGCTGATCTGAAAGATAGTCATTATGAGCTTTCACATGCCAGAATGTAGTCGTTTCCGTAATATGGAATATGAAAATTCACAATTTATAACCTAAAGTGTAGGTCTTATTTATAATTTATGTTGATGTCATTCTTATTAGGACTACGTGTTTCTTTCGCGGAGGAATTTGCTACGACTGGCCCTTTAACAGGGATAATATATCCTAGCATACGTGTCTACTGCCTGCATGAATTTTTAGAAATCGGGAAAATTAATAGGGAGTGTCAATGAGGAATAAGGAGCAGCAGATTTCAAAGTGATTTTAATGGCCCTTTATATTAACGCCCCATGATTTTGTTGTATGATCGTAGAAATGAGTTGGTTTTTGATTCTTACATGGTTTGGTAAGGATTGGGAAGGATATGATACAGGCCTTTCTTTCTAAGACTGGCGAAGTTGTAGAACTTTCTCCAGGTCAGAGACATTGCCGTAGAAAAACAGGACAGTCACCTATGTTCGTCTTTTTATGCATGGCCATAATTGTACTGTTGTAAATTATAACCCATGTCAGGTCAGTTGACCTGTAATATCTCTCATTACCATCATTTGTGTAAATGGCAGGAACAACGCTGCCCAGTTTGCTAGTCGTGTTTCTAAACCATGTGGTGGCTACAGTCACCTTCAGAATCACCATATCTACAGCTCTGCATTTCAAAGGTCTGAACCGCCTAACACCCAAACTTCTTGGTAAACTGCGTGTAGCACCTCATGGTGTCATTGCTTGAGAGCAGCCCTTTCATTTCATTTCATTTCATTTATTCACCTTCCTTAAATCCTGTCGAGAATACATTCCCATGTGGATGTAGAGATCATCCTAGTTATAGGAATCGTTGGGCCGCTCAAACAGGAGAGATATGTGGCCTCTACATCAACTCTGTCTCTATGGTTTTGTACTGGCATCAGACTGGGCAAACCATGGCTTTGTACACATATTTTCTCTTAAATATTGCACATATAAATTGTTTAACAACTACCCTGTAGGAGGCTTCTGCATTATGTCTCCACAGACAAATGCCTTGCATGGTTTTAATTTCATTACTTTTTGGCTTGATCCCATTGCTTTTTAAACACAAATCTCCTATGCAAAGTATCTTTGGGAATTAAAACCAGAGTGTTCAGGTCTAGCACTGATTTCATCTAATTTATCTTTACCAAGCATTTAGGCCACACCATAGCGCAAGCGGTTAGTCACTGGCTACCCACCACGGCAGCCCAGGTTCGATCCCGGGCCTGGTAAAGTGGGATTTGAGGTGAACAAAGTGGCGCTGGGGCACGTTTTCTCCGAGTACTTCGGTTTTCCCTGCCAATCTTCATTCCACCATGCATAATCACCCTCACCTATTATCTGGGGCTGATACAATAGGCCAGAAGTTGCCACAGTACATGGGACTTAGTCCCATCCCACTATCAATAAAAAAAAATATCAAGCATAAATATCAAGCTTAAGCATGAATAAGAGGCTAATAATAAAATGGATTTTAAGAGATATAGGTTGTAAAATTATTAATTAAACTCAGCTGGCTCATGACAGGGGCAAGTCAGGCCTTTGTGTGAAGGTGATGCATCAACAATAAGGAATGTCTTGAACAACTGATAGAGAACCGTGGAATTAGATTACACCTACTATTAGTAAAACAAGGCACTGTACATGGTACTAGTTTGTCAACTTCAGAAATAAAATGATAATGACCATAATCCTTTAAATATACTTGTAACACAAGAAAGCATTACATTATATTATCATTTCAGATTACTGTTCACTTTTCACAATTTAGCACCTAGACATTTGAATCCCATGGAAGTCTCTGGCTATGCTGAAAATTTTGATGCTTCTTTGTTACAAGAATACACCACAGAAAGAAGACAGTAAGAGAAGAAAAATAGGCACAATATTTGTCTCCTCCTCCTCCAGCTTTCATAAGTTAAATCTTTTGGTTTCTTTAAATTTGGAATTAATTCTGAAATTATGCATCTTCAGATATTTGGCAGAACTCTTTGGCAAGGGATATATCTATTTAATACAGGTAAAATAATATTGATATGAGCCAAAATGAAAGTACAAAATTTAATATACATTCATAGTTTCAGAGATATAATATGTGGACAGACATGACCACAGCACAATAAAAGAAAATGACACTGAATACTGTGTTCTATTTTTGACTGAAGACAATGTATTCAGTGGCTCACTTACTTGCACTTCAGAGAAATTTTTAGGGGAGAAAATTGAATCCCTCCAATATATTAGGAAAGCAAACCACCACATCACAATATGATAAACCAAGGATGACAAATATCTCAAGAAACAACAGTGGAAGCCTAAGATGTCAGTTATCATTGAATGAGTCAGATTAGCAGTTTTCTAGATCTACGTTCCTAATGACTGTAATGGGACACAATTTAATAACAGGCATTATAACAGGCAAAGTAAGCATGTAAAATAATTGTTCTATGACCCACCCATTCAAAACCGTGTTAGTAATTTGTGATGGAAACCTTCCATTGTTTTCAAGGCCCTTAAACTAAATTATGTAAAATATCTTTGAATTCTTTTCATAACATAAGACTGAAACATTTACCAAATTGGGATATAAAAAAATTCACATCCTCTCAGAAATTCTTCAATATTGTTTGTTTATGTACAAAGTCCTTTATGAAGGAAATCAATTACTGTTGAATAATATTTGTTTATTTGGCACTTACAGACCCTTAACACACAATATTATAGGTCGGGACATAGAGAAACAAAGAGTTTTGTGTAGAACTCATAAAGCCTATTTTCCTATTTCAGGCTACAGTCCTACAGATTATGTATTGTTAATCTTTTATTTTAAAAATTTAAATTTATAATAAAGCAATCCAGTTTAACTTAGCCGATTGGATACTGGGCTGAACTTATGCTGAAATGGTCATAAAGTAGAAACCTAATTCAGCCAATTTCTTGTTCTTTGCAATTCTAAATATAGTGAAGATTGTTATTATTATTGCTGCTGCTGCTGCTGTCATCGTCATTGTCATCGTCATCATTGATATCAGTAATTTTCCTTTTTAGTACAATTTATTACACATGTACAGATGTTTTCTGCATTCAAATGACTAGAAAAAAACTCAAACATTTGCAAAATAACTATGGCTGCAATTTCTGACCGATAATGTGACAATATTTCATATAGAATTTGTAGATACGCTCATGATCTTTCTCCATACTAAATTTCACATGCATAACCTCGATGATTAATTAATTAAGCCATCAAACAGACAGCCAAATCTGGATTCCATGCAACTGGCATTTTATTGTTTTACATACTACAGAAGAATTACTTAATAAAAACTTCAAAATTTCTGAAGATCTGTTATCTCACATAAAACAATTTTGGTACCCTAGATTAAGTGGTGCTAATGTCACTCTCACCTAACAAGTCTGTGCATCTGTCACACAGTCATTATCAATTGCAGGAAAATACAATGTAAAATGATAATATAACATCCATAACAAATACCACAAAAGTCATTCAGATATTTAAAAATTAAAATGGGAGAACAAACATAAACACATGCACACAGATGTACAAAATATACAGACAGCTTGGTGATCTCATAAGCTTAACCTCTTTCCTAACAAAACGAAAGTGGACTAAAGAGGAGACTGAAGATAAGGAAGACGACAGAGGATAACCAGATAAAAAGGTAAAGACGAGGAAGATGGTAGAAGAGGAAGACATAAAGAGAAGAGGAATCTTTTTGATGTGGATTTAAAAATATGTTAGGGGCAAAATGGATAAGATAAATGGGATTATCAATAGTTTTGGAAAATCTGACCTCTGTAAAATGACACTGCCATCAGTATACATACATTGAAAATCACCATTAAGAGATATTCACATCAGTTCTAATTTTGAATTGAAAATTTGACCTCTGTAAAATAACACTGCCATCAATATACATACTTTGAAAATCACCATTAAAAGATATTCACATCCAGGGGCGGCCCGTGTATAGGCACTGCGGAACTGCAGCCCCCCCAATTTCCACATGATATTATCGATAACATTTATATAATGAGTCCTTTTTTCTTTAATTCTTTCTTTATACTTGTACAATACAATATATAATCCTTAAGCTTAATGTGAGTAGTCAAATCTTTGTATGGAACTGTGCACTTCTGGAGCAGCACCTCCACTAATTTTAGCTATGAGCCGCCACTGTTCACATCATTCTAATTTTGAATTGAAGAAGTCTGCAAATAGCAGTGTTACTTTTACACACACATCAAGTTTCCAGTCAAACATGACCTGAAGCCAATACATTTTCGGAACCCAGTAGACTTGGGCTCGGAATCTCCCCAAATATAACTCTCTTGTAATTTTCATACAGCATCTTCTTAAGCATATTGGCATGTTCAATATCTCGAGTCTCACATACAACTTTCACCTGCAGAATGAATGGTTTAATTAGTGCTGCAATCTGAAATTGTGGAACAGTATGTAGAATATTGCGAGGAATGTATGGATGGTCAGTAAGTATATTGTATTTGGAAAATAAAATAATGAGCTCTATTAGAGGTTAGTAAGAAGTTCGTCTGTGTATAGACACAGAAAAACTAAGAATATGCTTACATCCCATCTTCAGATAGCATGTCAAATTATAATACAAAGATAGCTAATACACCATTTTAAAATATAATGAAATGCAAATATTTGCGAACAACTAAATTACACTGAAAATGAACTTGAATTGATTTAGTTTAGATTTTTTATCTTTTCATATAATAGCTAAATACCCTTAAATGTATAAAACTATAACTTTTACTTCGGACTTTGTTTGAGAAAAACACTGAAGAGAAAATTCGGACCTAAGGAGGAAGCATCTGTAGGACAGAGAAAACTGCACAGTGAACAGCTTCCTAATTCATATGGTTTCATCTAGCACTGTTAGGATGATTAAATAAAAAAACTATAAATACAGTATATACATTCTGGGGGAAGAATAAGTCTACAGAGTGGCTAATATCAAAATTAATCTTGAGAAAAATAAGTCATGAAGAGGTTAATTAGATTGAACTGGATCAGAATATGGTCCAGTGGAGAACTCCTGTTAGTACTTAAATTAACATTCAGGTTCCAGAACAGGTGAGGAATTTCTTGACCACCTGATTAACTATTAACTTTAGAAGAATGACCTTGTATAATGGGGTTAATTAGTTAATGGCAGATCAAAATTATGTGGACCAGAATGCTGGATCTTTACAGAAAGTTGAAGGGTTAGAACAGAAACAAGAGAAAAGCAGTTGCTTGTAATTAAATAAACTGCATGTATTCAGTTACCTCAACACTGAAAACGTCTGACTGTATCCATGCCCTTTCATGCATAATATCTTTTATAGAAATTCCAATAGAGGCCATCTGTCGGCAAAGTTCTGCAATACCACCAGGTCGATCGCTCACAGTAACTGAGAACTTGAGAAGACGCCCATCACATGCCAATCCTCTGTCCAGACACCGACCAAGAATTGTTGTGTCAATGTTGCCACCACACAATGGTAGAACCACCCTGACAGAGAAACAGCAAATGAAACTTAGGCCAGCATTTCTCATATTCATCAATCATCTGCTATATTAATAAATATTACAAATAACCAATTTCAAGGTGATACTAAGATTGTATCGAATCTTTAGAGTCTTAGTATGTTTTCCATTTTAAGTATCCTTCGCACAATCTGCATGAAATAATATGCGTTATAATAATGCAGATAGAGGAATCTATGACTGACTATCTGAATGTTTCTGTCCAGAATCAATGGATGGCCTTTGATGAAATTTTATAAGAAAGTTATGTCATTGGGTGCCACCTTACACTTATACTTTCTAATTTCCTACCACTGGTAAAAACATATTAAATTTTGAGCCAGAACTGACACAAGCACTGCTTTCAAAATTCAATAACCATAAGCAACCAAAAGCAACCATGTAACAGGAGGCCATTAGAAGTACTCTTAATGCCAAAGAGCAAAGAATAAACATGGACACTGAGTGCCCTCCAATAAGGATTGCACTTCTTTAATCCTGTCTTATAAGGAAAGATTACTATCATATCCATTTTTGCCATCCAATGTAACTGTCCCTCGCTAATGACATTTTGAAAATCAAGACAAGAATAGCCACTTTTTCACAGTGCACTAAACTGTTATTTTTTTTTGTGTGCATGTTCTCTTCAATTTTGCAGATAGTTTATTTTTTTAAAGCCCATCACTACATGTATAGACATGAATTTTACTTCCTCCTACCTCATTATATAATTAAATAATTAAAAAAATGTACACAAAGTGCAATCTGAGGCTCTCTTCTAAGTAATTATGAATAGCTGGAATGTGACACCATATAGTCTGGTAAATGTTTATAAATGTTTCTTCACATATCTATAAATTTCTACCAGACTGTATGGCGTCACATCCTAGGATATACTACGCTTTAACATAAATAGAAGTGTGTAGATCTCTATAAAATCTATTCGTATGTATCCTTCTATGCCATTTCTTAGAATGATGAGCCACTTTCAGAAAAAAGTTAAATAAGAATTCCAGTTTTATCTAAAGTAGAAATTAAACTTTTAGTTTATGTTACAATTACCAAATGTCTTAATATTCCATTCAGTAGCTTCCGTCAGGAAACATGTGAACAAAGACATGATTCTTGCTTTTTGTGTCAATTAATTTTGTGTGTTTTGTGTAAATGCATATTAAAGATGACAAGCAAAGCTGCTCTTATCTCAGCATGGCTCTACACAGAAAAATAGCAGGCACAGAAAGAAGTTGCTGGAATTCTCATCCTTGATTTTATACAGAGGTGAGTGGTTAGTTTTCTGGGTTGTTCACCTTCCAGTACCAGCTGAATAGGCATTATTATAGTGGGCCTCAAATCAATTTTGAATATTGTGGTGGTAAAGACAAAGCTCCCAGTGCCTCTTCCTGCAACTGAATCCTAAGCAACATGTCTCCAACCTTACTGGGATATCATGGCTCATTCTCAGTGCTTGTATTATTATATGCATATCTACTCATAATTCATAGTGACTAACTTCTTTCCTTTAAGCTCACTGAGATGTCCTGCAAGAATAGCAGCCAACCCAGCAGCTCCTGCACCCTCTACTACGCATTTCTCAAGTTCAACCAACCGCAGGATTGCAATTGCGATCCATTCTTCTTTCACCATGACCTGAAACACACAAAAGTCAAATAACCTCATTGAGCTAAATAACTTCATGGACAGAGTTTATAGTCACTAAACTGATGAAGAAATTTCTACCTTTATGGAATTTGAACGTTCATTACCATGTTTCAAGAGTGTCCCTGGACCTCATACTGTACAAGCTGAATCCAAACTGTACCCTCACACATAATTTATTTATGATGTATTTTAATATTACCCTCTCATCTCTGCTTAAGTCTCCCAAGTGATCTCTTTCTTGCTGCTCTTTTAACTACTTACTTCTCATGCATATTACACCTCCCATTTATCTCATGGTCTTGATCTGGTCACCACAGTACAGTGATTTCTTGGAGACTTCATATGAACATTATGCCAATGGAAAGTTACACCTTAATGCTTTTTAATCCTTCCATACCAGTTTCCTTTAAAGAATCTGCATCTATCAGATTCCCATGGAGCATACAATTTCTGCTGTTAAAATTCCATGCATAATTATGTGTAATTATTTAGAGAAGACAGAACTCGTTTCTTTCATTAACTAAATGTAGGCAAGACGAGGAAGTGTTTCTAAATGTGATGTCTCAATTGTAACATGGAAAAGGGTTACCTGTTAGTCATCAATAATTCCAACACAGTAGCTATACAAAGTGTTTAGTGCAAATATAGTCACTATTCAAACAAGGATCTTGAAGTGTCATATGCAGTTATTGTCTCTGAAGAGGAAAAATGTTCTGATTTTTTAACATACATACTGAGAGTCTTCTGACACATTGTACACTTTGGTGACAAAAACTTTACAAACAAATGGTTTATAAGTACTGATTTCAGCTGTCTCTTTCCAGATATAAGTTATATGGTGTATTGATCTGTTGAAAGAATATAAATAACAAGTGAATGTAGACAAGCTGCTCAGGAAAATATCTCAACCTAAGAAAACTAATATGTCAGCAATTTAGGATATTACACCAGTTATGTATTATTGACAACAAAGAAAATTTAAAGAGTGGGAGGAAATAATGTCCTAGAGATATAATTAAGGTGGGAGAGAAAAGGAATGCATACAGTATCTCCCTAGGGAAACCTTCCTGAAGATGGCTGCTTGAAAGACAGAGAAGGATATGAGAGGAAAACATTCAGATGGATCTTAATTTGCTTATGACAATGGTAGGTGGATGTAATTCATTCTGGATCATGTCCAATGGCAGGCTTCTTTGGTATTAGCATTATTGAACCAGAGAGTTATTCTGTCAGGCAGGATTGTAATCCAGATATTTTCTTGAATTGTTTGTTAGGTTGATTTTCCACATGATGTATTACTCACTGTCTAGTTGCTGGGCATTTAAGGGTATAAATTTTTTGGAAGTATGGTATTGTAATAGACCATCTGTTTTAAATAACACATGGCAGTAAACAATTAAGATGGTCGTGAATGGTTTTGTGGGAACATCCCACATTATCACGCATTTCTGCAACGCTCGCTCTTCACATCTCTTCACCATCACGCGCGCTAACCAATCAGATTGCTACAAACGATCGCATTTATACTACGCTCGGCGCTAGCCCGCGTCTACACCATTACGCGCGCTAGCCAATCAATTCTTNATTTTTAAATCCTGATGAAATATATTATATTTTAACTGTTAAATTAAGTATTTGTAGTTATGTGATGGAGATATTTGCATCAAACTTCTATATTATGAATAGGTTTTTTGTATTAATTTATAAGTGTGACTATGATAATCATATATCTGCATAAATTCGATCATATGTGAATATTTTATGTACAAATTTTGTACTGTGATTGTATTGCATGTTGATGGGTCCATTGTTTTTATGTATGTGTTTATGTATTTTGACATGTTCTATATCCTATGGAATGCATGACCTGAAAGGATCTATGGAATTTAAAGTGAAAGTGAAAGTTTAGTGATGAAGTAAGAATTTTCAATTATTGCTTCATAAGAATAAGATCTGGACAAGAAACTTGGTGTACCATCATTTTGAAGTTTAGAAGCTGCAACTCACCATTTTGTCAATAAGTGGAGCAGCTGTGGCAAATGCATTATATCCAACCATAGGCACAGCCAACCCATCTGCTAATGTTGACTCAATGGGTGTGTACACAGGTTTGCCAGCTTCCAGTGCCCTTGAGAAGCTTGCACAGCGTACAGATTCTACACCCTGCAAAGGAGACTAAAGATCAGACATATACAACTTATTAATTCAAATGTTGTATCAGCTGTTGAGGTTATGCAGCATAAAAATCTGTTATGGCAAGATAGTTGTGAATTAGCAGTTAAGAAGGGCAGATAAGAAGAGATTATGGCCAGTTTCAAAACAGGGTACCACAGCTTGCTAAAAAGGGCAGAAGACAACTACAAAAACTTCCACTGAGATAGACTGTGTCCAGCTTGGATTTAAAATGCATATCTCTTGAATATGAATCAGATATGTTGCTGTCGTTTATGACTATGGTCATCAGAATGCTGTATAGCAGAATCTTCCTTACTGACGTTATAGTTCATACATTATTCAATGATTATGTACCAATAATTTCCTAAGCTTTGAAAATGGTCAACACGTTATATAAACACTATACTGAACATTGCCCGGGATATATTTAACATAGTAAATATTGCAAAAACTGGATGCAGGTCCATCATCAGATGTAAGGTGGAAAAGAAATATATTCAGTTGGCAGCTAGATGAGTAAAGTTATTGAGGCTAGTTCTAACATGGCCAACTGAATAGGATTCTTTCTTTCCATACACCTGATCATGGAAATGATCAACATTCTGAAATATTACATATGTTAAACATACTGCAGATATATCCAATATAATACTTGTACAATGAAGAGTCATTGCAATTTATATTTGTCGTTAAGCTATTGGTCTAAGTGTCCTAACATTTAGCAGAAATTCCATTACTCAACGTGAAAATTAAATTAGACATAATCCATTATATGTGAGCTAGGGTAGCTCAACAAAGTGACAAGCTAAAAGCTAGAAGGCCAGGTTTGATTCCTGGCAGGAGCATTGATTGTTGCCTTTGATGCCACATCAATGCCATCCAGCCTCCTAGCCGGTGTGTGTCACGGGATATTTTCACAGAACTAGGATGTGAAGCCCAGTGATCAATTCAGTCTAGTGCCAATGTAAAGACTATGTGGAGATATACCACCACTCCAATTATGTCTTCAAGGCATGTGTTTAATTAAGAACAGGTACAAGTTTCTCTTTACTTTTAGTCAGCTAATGAAGGTTTATGTTAGATAACAAAGGTTATGAAATCTTGCTGAGGGATCCAAAATTTATAATCAGTTATATAATAAACAATTACTGACATAACAGGAAAAACCCAAAGAGACAGTACTCTTAATCTTTAAATTATGGTTTACTCACAATGATAATTGTTTTAGGGTACAGCGTCTTTATTGCAAGAGCAACTCCTGCAATGAGGCCACCTCCACCAACAGGCACAATCACAGCATCCAAATTGCTGACCTGATCAGCAATCTCCAGACCAAGTGTTCCTTGACCGGCCATGATATGAGGATGATCATATCTGCAAGTCATATAATTTCACTGCATTCCAAGACAGTCACATGCTAAACACATCCTACACGGGATATGTGGACAAAATGGATGTCTTCAAGCATGCAGTACCTTAATCAGTACTCACGTTCATATTCTGTATAATGTTTCCACAGGCAAAGTCCTGGTGACCAAATCATAGCAATATAACCATTGCATTTGGTGCGGAGAAATGCTACTGTCAACAATTCAGTTAAGATTTAAGTTTAAGTTTTGACACAGATGTTCTCTTGTGTTGACATGTGAGAACATTCAGAGCAGCTGAGTGCATTGTAAACTAATATTATCTCCTGGGATATTCAGTCAGTATTCAGTATTAGAGGGGGTGGATTTCCCCATGCACAGCAACTAGTAGTCTACTGTATGCCCCCCTTTAATTTCTACTGTCGCCATACCCTACCGACCGGTACTGGTGCTCACTATCAGCCATTTTCTGCCAGCGAGGTTGGCCCTCTTCTGGCAGTGGCACCCAATAACTTCCCCATCTACCGGAGGCATTGGAAACTACTTGGGTGGGAAACGTTTTGTCTAATTTTGCTCAGAGGTCTCCTAGAGACATGAGGATCTTTTACGTGCCGTAAATCTACGACACGGGACCCACGGCTTAAAGTCCCTTCCAGAGGACTTGTTCCCTGAATTTTTCCGCCCTTAAAAATTCCACAACCTCCGCCGGGTTTGAACCCACATACCTTGAGTCATGAGGTGGGAACGTTACCCCTAGACTAGAGAGGCTGAATCTCCTGGGATATGATGCCCATGTAATCAGAGTTTACTAATATTCTCCGAAATGTCAGTCTACAGGACATCACATTCCAGAAAGCAGTGCACTTCAGAGTCACTGCCATGAGAACCCAAATTCAAATAGTGAATTCCAATTACCCATTGATATATACAAGATCTTGATCCTTGGAGAGTTGCATGGCGATTCTTTTTGCATCTCCCATGTCATTGCCTTGCACTACCACACGGGCTCCATGCTGTTCACATGCCTGGATCTTCATGATGGGAGCCACAGTGGGCATCACTACAGTCACAGGAATGTTAAGTCTGTGTCCATGATATGACAGGGCTAGTGCATGATTTCCAAGCGAGGCAGAAATCACTCCTTTCCTTTTCTGTTCCTCTGGTAGCATGAGTAGAGCATAACATGCCCCTCTCTCCTTGAAGCTATAAATATACAACATGCAAAGCATTCTAGCTAGAGATGCAAGACTATAATATATAATTAACCAGTAGCAAAACACTGGTTCTTCAAATAAACTGTACTGAAATAATGACATTATTTAGTTATTATGACAAATATATATTCCTGCTGACTAAAATATAAAGTGATTGAAAGTGTCTCTAAAATGTATTGAAATGATGTAACTGCTTATCAATATTCCTTTCTCCAAACCATGCACCAATATTCTATTGTTTTATGCCATGGCACCACATAATGACCACATAGTACCTTGCCAAGCAACAAATGAGCAGTGGACATAGATTAATTTTGCCACGTAAAAGCCGTTTATAGACACCCAATAGGACTAAGAAAATGATGGAGAAACAGTGAACACTCTGCAAAAGTTTGTTTATATATGACAATATTACCTATTTATTTTTCATGGTGATATAACTTGGTCTTTTACCTGCAGGGAAGAAAAGAGATTGAGGAATGAAGTACTGAGAAGAGAGATAAAGTTAACAGGAGAATGGAGAAAATAACATGAGAACATCCACAATTTGTACTTCTCATATGCTGCTGTATACAATGATTAAACCACATAGGATGACTAGGGAAAGCATTTGTAAATGCATGAAAGTAACAAGAAATTTTGGGCATAAAATCCTTGGGGAAGAGATGCCCTTGGGAGATCTAAGCACAGACAGAATAATATTGGTAAATATGCTGTGAAGATGTTAATTGCAGCTCAGCACGGTGGCTAATCCCAGGCTTTCGACCACGGTGATGAACTTCCAGATTCCTTACCAAGGAACTTCATCTGAATAATTACCGGTAACTCAATGAAAATTCAAGAACCAAGTTGGTTATATAAGTAGGTAGGTAGGTGGGTGGGTGGGGGGGTGGACGAGTAGGTAGGTGGGTAGGTAGGTGGGGAGGTGGG